GAACTTTACTCAAATACAGTATTTCACCTAATTCTCATATTCAGCAGATGCTATTATTTACATTTTGCACAAAGGATAATTGAGGCATAGAGAAATCCATAACTGTCCAAAGTCACACAGCTAGTAAGTGGCTGAGCTTGGATTTAGATCTTGGCAGGTTAGATTCCTGCTTCTATGGCTCATGCCTCCTAGAATATAGTAAGAAAAAATAATAAGACTTTTTTTATTCTTTGGAGATAAATTTTTAAGAAGGAAAACTGGTCATGGTAACCAATTTTAACAAGAGATAACAAGATAGAATAACAGGAAATACCATGCTCATCAATAAATAATATAAATGTAAATTGTGCTCTATCACTTGGGGTGTGGCATGTATGGTTCTCAGGAAGATAGACATATGCATCTGTAAAGTACCTTTAGCCTCTGAGAAATTCTTCAAAGTTATCTTCAAAAATACCTCATCTCCAGCCCTGTGCAATCCATCTAGCTTCCCTTGAGAGTAAGTGAAGTGTTAAACTTCAGAGTCTCTTCCCTGGGTTTGTTAAATGAGAGCTGCCACCTCTCCTCTATAATTAGGAGAGGAGCCCCAGGGTTTACTGGAGAGGTGGGTGTAAGCTGCCATGAGGTAAGGAGGCAGGAGAGTGTTTCCTCCCATGGTTTTTTTTTTTTTTCTAAACTCATAGAACCCAGATCTGATTTGCAGTATGTCTAGGAAACTTGAGGCAAGGGCGGAGGACCACAGGAAACACACCTTTCCTCTCAGCTGGAACTCTGCCATCCTCACCTTCCTGTCTTTAACAAGCTCTCTAAACCAAAAAATGATGCTGCAGATTGGAGCTGTTGATGAGGGAAGGCTGGGAGTTCCCGAATCTTTTGAAACAGATATTAAATCTGTAGTTTGACTGGCTCCTAGCCCAGGGGCCCATGGGAAAGCCAGAAGAGTGTGTGATGGTAGAAGTCTCTGGGTTCTCCTCCTCCTTTCCCTTCTTCATTTTTCTTTAATGGTTCTGGGACATTCCAAAGTAATTCCTAGGGAGACTCTTCTTGGTTCATACACACATCACATATACACTCACACATGTGTGCCCACACATGCATAAAGGCGCACACACTCACGTTTACTGGTTTATGATAAATAATATTGCAGAGGATACAGAGGAGGAGATGGGGTAAGGCAAGTGGGGAGGGGGTGCAGAGCTTCCTTGTGCTAAATGAATCATCAGGTCACATATTAGCCACTCTCAACCAGGCTTAGTCAAGACCAAGTCCACACTCCTTATGTGACCAATGGGAGATCCTGCTCACATGGGCCTGGCCACCCACTGGCCTGCTGCTTCTCTCCATGCTCTAACTTTGAGAGTCAATGCTGGTCCCTGTGAATACCTATTTGCCCACCCATCTGCCCTGACAGGAAGGCCTTTGTTTCTCCTTCCTCTTGCCAGGATTCTTATTTATCTTTGTAGGACTGAATTCAAGAGTCACAAATATGGTAATTAGTTGTTTATACACACACTCCTTCTCTCCATTCTCTTTTAAACTCTGATTTCCTCCTCAGCAGAAATGCCTTATTTTACTTTGTATGTCTCATCAGCATATATCAGACATTCAACCAAAATTTTCTTAATATGCTGGACCTTTGATCAGCAACTTTTGAGTAAACAAGTGCTTTATTTGAACTACACTAAAAGGTAAATTGTTTTCCTTGCTTTGCAGAGTGCTGATTTCATCTTGTAAAAAACAAATAAACAAAAAACATTTTGCATAGGATGTTGAAAAAGACAATTTTTTACAAATGCTGATTTGAGTCAACTGTCCTTTATGTCTGCTGAGCTCCTGGTGAGTTTAGCACTGTCTGAGGTCTAGATGTCCATCAGAAAAATTTTTGGGAAATGTAGGCAAATGAGTATCCATAGGGACCCTCAATTGAAAGCATGGGTGGAAGATGCAGCCAGCTCTCAGGAGGTCTGGTGACGGGAGGGGATTTGCTCCAGACAGGCAGTTTGTTCAGATCTTCCTGCCCTGGTTACTCTCCTGCTGCATTTCACTGTGTCCCTCAGCTCTTGGGTAACTCTACCTCTCACCAAGTTTTGCAATCTGCTGTGGGCTTCAAAACCCTCTACTTTTTCCTCTACTGGGAGGAGCAGCAGGCCAGTGGGTGATTGGGCCCATGTGGGCAGGGCCCCTATTAGTCGTCTAAGGAGTGTGAACTTGTTCTTGACTAATCCCAGTTGAGGCTGGCTAATATGTTACAGCAAGAGGGGGCATGGAAGCTCTGCACCCCTTCCCCTTGCCTTGCCACACACATCTCCTCATCTGTAGCCTCTGTAATATCCTTTATGAGATGCTTTCAAAGCTATGGGTATGTCACAAATCTAAATGACAATAAGGATTTTTTCTCTGGTAAAGTGTGGGAAAAAAACTGGTGTCTCTGAAAATTGAACTTTGTGTGTGTGTGTGTGTGTGCGTGCACGCACGCTAGGGATTGAACCCAGGGCCTCGTGCAGGCTAGACAAGCACTATCGCACTGAGCTACATCCCCAGCCCCTCAGTTTTCTTCTTTTAAATCTCCAGAATCCCTTCTCCTTTTCTCTCATTTGCCTAGATGTGAATACTACTTAAGCTGTATGCAGATGCCTCCAGTTTTGATTAAAGCCTTGCTGACTGGCATCTTGGGAATTCTGAGGGCCGATCATCCTTTTTATGTAGCATTTTCTGTTGACGAGTTCAGCCTTTGGCCTCCTTCCTCACTCAGGGAGGGGATGGTGTCTTGGATCCTCTCCTGTTAACTGGAAGGAATTGGGCATTGCCAAGCACCAAGCCAGGAAACTGACCTCTGCCGAGGAATGGGATCTGGGCAGCTGTGCCCTCAGAGCAGGGCTGGCAGCCAGCTCTCAGGGTGTCTGGCTGCGGGAGGGGTTCTTCTGCTTTACAACGGGCCAGCTTGTTCAGATCTTCCTGCCCTGGTTACTCTCCTCTGCGTGTCACTCTGTCCTTCAGCTCTTTGGTAGTTCTACCTCTCACCAAATTTTGCAATTTCAAATCCCTCTACCTCTCCTTCCTCCAGGGCTGCATATTCCTGTAGAGTTAAAAGCCAACCAAAGAAGATTAAGTTTCTTTTATCTCTTTTTTATTTAGTCTCCATCACTGACCTCTTCTGACCTACATACCAAAGGGCTGTATTTTACTTAGAACCATTTTTAAAGGTCCACTAGTATGCCAACATTCTGAGTTTAGGTTGCTCAGAATGACCTAGAAGCTGATAAAGAAGGCAGATACTCCTTTATCAGAAACATCACAATAACACATTCATGCTAGCACATGACTAGTCTCCATCTGAGGCAGCTCCTGGGCTTCTTGGTTCTAACATAATAGATTTTTGTTGGTGTCTACCTGGTTTTTCTCCACACTGACACCTGTTTTTTTTTCCCTCCGTACCGACACCATTATCTTTTTTTCTTAATTTCTATAATTTGCCTATTTTCGTGAAATCTTCTCTTCTCTTTATGATGTTTTACTGTTTTTCTTTTTCTTTCAGTGTTGGGGATTGAACCCAGGTCCTCACTGCATGCTAAGCAAGTGCTCTAGCACTGAGCCACACTCCCAGCCCCAAGTTTTATTTTCTGCATATCCTGCTCCTTGCTCCCTCTCCTGGCAACCTTTCTGTTCCGGGGTTCAGCTAGGAGACTTGATGAATCACTGGTTTCCAGACTGCTAATCTGGGCGCAAGGGCAACTCAACTCTGCTAGGATTTCACCCCTGATCTAGCAGAATTCCTCGCTGCAGGTGAGTCTTCATCCTCCCAGTTCAGCACTGCTTCTTTGCCAGACAAGGAGGCCTTTTTTCTCATTTTAATTCCTCAACTCTTTAGACTTCTCAGACAGATGGCTGCCCTAAAAATGGCAGATGAAATGTGAAGCACAAAAAGGTATTATAAGATGTTCCCTTGAGAATCTCTGATTATTCATATCAGCTGGAATTTTGTGGCAAGAGCACTACACTTGAGAATTAGAAAAGTTTGGTTGGTTGTGCAACCTCAGGCAAATCACTTACCTTCCCTGGGCTTTTCTTGTCCTCCTTGGTAAAATGGGACTACTTTGTGGGGAGTTGTGGAAATGAAAGGCTGAGCATGAAAACACTTTGCAAACTGTACTGAGACGGTGGAGTAAATGAGCAGGGCTGTTGTCCTGATTCTTCTTTAAATCGTTAAAAGGAAAATTAAATATTGAGATTTGCTTCTGCTGGGTATCAACGAAAACTACAAGCTAAAAAAAGGTGCAGAAATCCTTGTGGTAACATTTGGCTAAAACTGAGGGTGTCACTACTGTTAGGACTCTGTGTCCACTCAGGGTCCTAAGGAATTCGGACTCTTGTTTTGAAGAGCTGCTGCGATTCCAGCTCTAGGCTAAGGTGGCCCCGGGGGCGGTGCTTTGGGATGTGGAATCCCTGCAAGGTGTTTTCACGGTTCACTTCCCAGGGCGGCCTCAAGCCTGTTTTTTTTTTTTTTTTAAATTTTTTATTGTTGGCTGTTCAAAACATTACATAGTTCTTGATATATCATATTTCACAATTTGATTCAAGTGGGTTATGAGCTCCCATTTTTACCCCATATACCGATTGCAGTATCACATCAGTTACACATCCATTGATTTACATATTGCCATACTAGTGTCTGTTGTATTCTGCTGCCTTTCCTATCCTCTACTATCCCCCCTCCCCTCCCCTCCCCTCCCCTCTTCTCTCTCTGCCCCCTCTACTGACATTCGTTTGTCCCCCTTATATTATTTTTCCCCTTCCCCTCACTTCCTCTTATATGTACTTTTGTATAACTCTGAGGGTCTCCTTCCATTTCCATGCATTTTCCCTTCTCTCTCCCTTTCCCTCCCACCTCTCAAGCCTGTTTTAAAAGGGTGTGTGTGGACCAAGCCCAAAGCAGCCTGGGACACTGCAGACTGGCACCACCTCCTCTGGCTGTTTCCGAGGCCATCCAGAGGCCAGGGCCCGGTCAGATGAACTGAAAAGTCAAGAGAGGACTGCTGAGTTTGGGACCTTTGTGCAGACGTGTTCCCAGTGTGGAGGGTGGGACGGAGGAAGGGAAGGAGGGCGTTGAGAGGAGGCCCCACCTTTCATTCCAGCACAGTGCACCGGCGGGGCGGGATGAGTCACGACTGGCTTGCTCCGGAGCTCAGATTCCCGTAGGTGAGGGACCGAGACTCCCCTCTCGGGGAAAACGCGGCGCCCGCTCTTCCCGCACGGATCTTGGCAGGTGCTAGAGCCCTGGGTCTGCCCGGTCTGGTCTCTGGGACCAGGGCTGGGTTTCCCTCATGTATGGCAAGAGTCCTGCGCGCCTGGTGCCTCTCCTCCTTGGCTTACAGCTCACAGGTAAGACCTGGCGGCTCCTCCCGTTTCCTCCTTTATTGCCCACACAACAGAGATAGTTAATTGTAGAAGAAATCGCCGGAGTTCTGCGTGGGAGCCCAAGACACAGTTGCAGTTGGTTTTGGTTTGGACTTTACTGAAACTGTAGTTGTTTGGGGGGAATTATTTTGGACAAATAAGTTTCGGTGTGTTGGCTGCCAGTGATCCAGGTACAGAGAGGGCTTTCTAATCTCAGGTTACACACCATTTTTGTGTGGCTGTTCTCAGCCTCCTGCTGCTGGTAGGACTTGGCACTTGATTTCTGTGTGTGAGTCTTGTGTGGAACTCTGCGCAGCACCAGGAAAACCAAGACTGTTAGAGACCCACCGCGGTTTTGAAACTGCCCCAACACACACATTCTGAACGTCAATATCATGGTAAAAATATGCCACGTGGTATAAAGGTCCCCGGGTGCAGGCAAACACAGGCTGCCGGCAGCTGACAACTTCTGCAGTGTAGGAAACCTACATCATGAGAACTCTCTGGAAAACTTATCTGCTATGAAGTTTAATTCTGGGCTCCTGACTTTAATATTTGTAGTTTGTTATAGCACTTCTGAAGTCAGTGTCCTGAGGCCCTGGAAGCACTAGGAAGGTTCCCCATGTGGTGTTTGAGCTGTGAGGGGATGGGAGCTCTGGGCTGCCTGTAGGTGGGTGGGACTGTGGGTGAGTAAGCTTGAGAGCTGGGCATCATGGTTCTGCCTTGTTCCCTACTCAGACATTTATTTTGAAAGTGTCATAGTCCTCTCAAGCCCACATCCCCTATTAACCCTTCTTACTCCTTTTACTGCAGCTCTTTGGCCTACAACAGCTGTGGAAATTTACACCTCTGGGGCAGTGGAGGCTATGAACGGGACAGATACTCGGTTAAAATGCACTTTCTCCAGTTTTGCTCCTGTGGGTGATGCACTAACAGTGACTTGGAATTTCCGTCCTCGAGATGGGGGGCCTGAACAGTTTGTAAGTAAATCATTGTCATTAATTTCTAGGGGACCCTTGGTCAGGCATTAAACCAGTGTATTTCTCCTTACCCTTCCTGTATTTTTCTTAGCAATAGGCACAGGGGTAAGCTGGGAAATAATTATTGGGACAGAGACTGACAGAACTGGACAGAGGCCAGTGGAGGGGGAAGAAAGATTCCTATGAGAGAGCTGTGGATGGGACAGCTGGGCTTGCTGTTGTTTCTCTTCTGCCCCCATCATCGCAGCCTCCTTGCCTGGGTATTGAATAAGTGACATTTGCTTTTCCCCCCTCCAGGTATTCTACTACCATGTGGATCCCTTCCCACCCATGAGTGGGCGGTTCAAGGACCGGGTGGTCTGGGATGGGAACCCTGAGCGGTATGATGTCTCCATTCTTCTCTGGAAACTGCAGTTTGATGACAATGGGACATACACTTGTCAGGTGAAGAATCCACCTGATGTTGATGGGCTGGTAGGGACGGTCCGGCTCAGCGTTGTGCACACTGGTAGGTTATGTGGGGGGGGGAAACGGGGTTTTGGGAGTGAGAGAGCTGGTAGAAAAGAGAGGCAATCTCTTGTTATGGTTGAAAGGGTAGAGAGGGGGCCTAGTGCTGGGAACTGCAGAGGGAGACTAGGAGTCCTAGGGTAAAAAGAGAAAGGCTTTGTTTGGTTGTGGAAAGAAACAGAGTAAAGCAAAAGGATCCAGGGAATGTGTAACAAAATGGCATTGAGATGGTAAAAGGGAGAGGAAGCGACTCTCTGATAAAAGGCCAACAATAGGTCTGTTCATTCTCTCATTTATTCAAGATACTTATTGAGTTCCTGCTGTGTACCAGACACTGTCCAAAGTGCTCAACATGTCCTATCTCACTTCATCCTCACGCCATCCTCAGAGACAGATATCAATAATGGTAGCTAATGTTTATTGAGTACTTTCCACCTGTCCTTACATGACACATTCTATTTGTGTTTTACATATCTCATCAGTTTATTTTGCACTTAATGTCTCTCATTTTACCAACAAAGGAAATTGAAGCTCATAGAGGTTGTCACTTGCCCAAAGTCATGTGGTTGGAAACTGGAGTAATTTTGGACTCAAACCCAACCATCTTTGACTCTAAAATTGTACTGTAAACTAATGCATTGTATTGCCTGCACCCCTGTGAAGAACAACCTGGAAAATAGTGGCAGGTCACAAAGAACAAAAATCACAACAGTTTTGAACTGCTGTAGAACTGTGTGTGAGTCATGGCTACCAACTGCAACCGTACATGAATCTTATTTTCCTCACCTACAAATTGGAGGTAATAATATGATGATTATGGTGAGGACAAATTGAGATAATAAATGTGAAAATCTCTAAATGCTGACCTGTACTGAAAAATTACAATAGCTACCATATATTGAGTGCTTATTATGGGCAGGCACAGCATGAAATGATTTACATGTATTGTTTTTATTTTTTATAAGAATTCAAGAAATGGATATTGTTACCTCTATTTTATACAGGAAGAAACTGAGGCTAAAGAGAGTTAATTACCCCAAATCACACAAGAAAGAGCTGTGTAACCCGGAGAAGTCATTTGAATATTGAAAGAAGTAATATAATGCCTCTGGACCTCAGTTTCTTCTCAGATTAGACAAGACATCATTTGTTCTTAAACTTATTAGAATCACTACTCTTGAGAATCAAATGAAAGTCATGGCCCTGTTTCCCACAAAAAGTGGGAAAAACACACGTTTTTGGTACTGTGGATCATCTCTCCATTCTCCATCCTTCTTGATGGGCTCCAGGCTAGAACTCCTGAGCTATACATTCTCTAATGTCCTTTCTGGATCTAATGGTTTATTGAAGTTTCAATTAGAAATCAAATTAAGGAACAGGAGAACCAGGTTTCACAGACTATGATCTTTAGGGGTTCCTTCCCCTGGGCTCCCTCTTTCACCATTTATCCACTAGTTACTGATCTACTTGCCTGACTTCTGAGGGGGTGGCAAGAGCTCCTTGAGAGTAATGTCCTTTTTGGCTTTTCATTTGTATCACAGTACCTGGAGTACAGTAGGACCTTAATAAATCTGAATAAATGACTGACTGAAGGGCAGAGGTGAGATGGGGTGGGGAGAAATGGGTTGGGCCCTAGATTTGGTTAGGTTAGCAATAATCCCATTAGGCAGTTAGCTGACTTAGTGATTCTCAAAACTATAGTATGTATCATAATCACCTGGGGACAACTTAAAAAGCAGACTATTGGGCCCCACCCCTATTGTTTCTAGCTCAATAGGCCTGGGGTGGGGCCTGAGAATTTTCATTTCAAAGTTCTCAAGTGATACTGTTGCTGCTATTCCTAGGATCACATTTTGAGAAGCACTAAAGTAGACTATGTGACTTTCCCACTGCTGCTAGAAATTACAAGGTCATAGGGTATTTTTTACATAAAGGTAGGAGAAAGGAAGATTCCATTTAATGATGAAATGCATCCCAATTATGTCTTTAGATTTCTTCACAGTTCTAAGAATCCTCAGTTGATCACTTGATCTTTTTCTCCTCATAGTACAGTTCTCGGAGATCTACTTCCTGGCTCTGGCTATTGGCTCTGCCTGTGCACTGATGGTGATAATAGTAATCGTGGTGGTCCTCTTCCAGCATTTCCGGAAAAAGCGATGGGCTGAAAGAGCTCACAAAGTGGTGGAGATAAAATCGTAAGACTGGGAAGTTAGGGGAAAGTCTCCTTCTAACACCTTCTTATGGTGACTCCTGGTATTTCGAAATGGGGCTAAATAATTGTTGAACACACGTTCTTTCTGTTGAATAAATCCTACGTAAAAGACTTCTAAGTCACAGGACAGATAAATTAGGTTGTGAATATTAACTTGACAAAAGCTTTCTTGATCTTTACAAAAAGATTTCATCATAGGATTTCTTTACTATGTGGAATTTCACATCATAAAAATCTGCTTATGTAAAACTTTTCTAAAACATCCCCTACTCATTTAATTTTTTTTTTTTTAATTTTTTATTGTTGGCTGTTCAAAACATTACATAGTTCTTGATATATCATATTTCACAATTTGATTCAAGTGGGTTATGAAATCCCATTTTTACCCCATATACAGATTGCAGCATCACATCAGTTACACATCCATTGATTTACATATTGCCATACTAGTGTCTGTTGTATTCTGCTGCCTTTCCTATCCTCTACTATCCCCCCTCCCCTCCCCTCCCCTCCCCTCCCCTCCCCTACTCATTTAATTTAGCATTACTAGGGATTAAGCCCAATACCTTGAGCATTCTCAGCACATGCTTCACCACTGAGCTACATTTCCAACTCCTAAAATATCCTTTATTTTTAAAGTGAAGCATTAATGCTTAAGAATAAAGGGTCACTATGAATCAGTGCATTAGAAAGGGTGCTGTGCTAATAGTAGGTGCTCAATAGACCTGTTTTAAAATTGACATAAAATTCACCCTTTTAATATTCACAAAGTTGCTCAATAATCACTGCCAATTCCAGAACCTTTTAAACATCCCTCCAAAGAAACCCCATATCCTTAAGCCATCACTTCCTAGTTTCCCCTCCCACCAACCCCTGACATCTATTATCTGTCTATGGGGGGTTTGCTTATCCAGGACATTTCCTATAAAAGGAATCATAAAGTATGTAGCCTTTACATCCAGCTTCTTTCACTTAGTATGTTTTCAAAGTACATCCATGTTGTGTTATAGCACATATTGGTACTTCATTCCTTTTTTTTTTTTTTTGGTGCTAGGGATTGAACCTAGGGTCTTGCATATGCTAGGCAAGCACTTTACCACTGAGTCACACCCCAGCTCAGTACTTCAATCCTTTCAATGGCTGCATGATTTTTCATTGAAATGGGTATATCACATATTGTTTATTCATTCATCAACTGATGGGCATTTAGTTTTTTTCCTACTTTTTGGCTGTTATAATAAATGTTGCTATGAACATTCATCTATAAGTTTTTTTCATAGATATATATTTTTAATTCTCCTAGGAGTGAGTAGAATTGCTGGGTCATATGGGAACTCTGTTTAATTTTAGGAGGAGTTGCCAGACAGTTTTCAAAACAGCAGCATATTACATTCCTATCAGCAATACACGAGGATTCTAATTTCTCCATGTCCTTTACTAACATGGGTTATTGTCTTTTTAATGATAGCCATCTAGTGGACATGAAGTGGTATCTCACAAGATTTTGATTTGAACTTTCCTAATGACTAATGATGTTAATTTTTTTTCTGTGTTTAGTGGTCATTTGCATATTTAATTTGGAGATATTTCTTCAGATAGTCTGTCCTCCTTAAAATTGGATTGGCTACCTTTTTTTTTTTTTTTGGTACTGGGGATTGAACACATGGGCATTTTACCACTGAGCTACATCTCCATCCCTTTCTTATTTTTTATTTATTGAGACAAATTCTCACTAAGTTGCTGAGACTGACCTAGAACTTGCTATTGTCTTTACCTCAGCTTCCTCAGTTGCTGGGATTACAGGCATGTGCCCCTGTGCCCAGCTGGTTACTTTTCATTCTTGTAAGCGTTCTTTTTGAATTTTGGAAACTAATCCCTTATTGGACACATGACTTGCAGTTGTTTTCTCCCATTCTCCCATGTGTTTTTTTTTTTTTTTTTAACTTTCTTGGGCACTTTCTGCTCAGAGCAGAAATGTTCCACAGTTCTATGGGCCTGGAAAAACCCCCTCTGGTCAGACAAAAGATTGAATGAACACAGCTGAGAAGTTATGGACAACAGGAAGTGCCTGACAGGTAATAGTTATGCAAGAAACATTTTTAACATTATAGATTGGTACCTGTTCCTAGGAATCAGTACAGGATACCATATGGAACTTGAAAATATATGAAGGTGTATGTGGAGATATCCATAATATCTCACTCAGTCTGTGTTGAACCATTTGGTCCTAAGGTATAAAAGTTTTTAAATTTTGATGAAGTCCAACTTGCCTGTTTCTTCTTTTGTTGCTAGGGTTTTTGTGTCACATTTAAGAAATCATCATCATGAAGATTTAACAACATCATGAAGATTTACACCTACATTTTCTTCTAAGAGTTTTATCATTTTAGTTCTTACATTTAGGTTTTTGATCCATTTTGAGCTAATTTTTGAATATTGTTGAGGTAGGAGTCCCAATTCATTTTTTGGATGTGGACATATAGTTGTCCCAGAATCATTTGGTTCTTTTCCTCAGTAAATATTTGCTAAAACAAATATAATTGATTTTAAGGAATCTAAGAAACCCACCTCTGAGGTTCTGGTTTGAATAGAACATAATTAATAAAGATAACTTTTAGGTCAACATAAAACTTTTTCTTTTATGAACAGGAGTAGAAATAAGAGTTAGCATTCTAATGGTAAAGTAAGGTGTTTGCTTTAAGCTTCTGGAGTTCCCAAATCAGGTCCCCAATTGTATTCCCTCATATTCTGAAGAGTCTTGGTTCATTTACCCAGGTTCAGGTGGAGGCATAAGTATTTCTAGTCAGATGGCAGTAGCTGTTTAATGCTAAACTAATCTACTTCCAGTTGAGTGTAATTCTCAAAAAATGGGGGAGAAAATACATTACCTGAAAAATATTTGCCTCCCTCCCAATTTTGTTTACCTGACATTTTTTTCCTGCTTTTTGTTACAGAAAAGAAGAAGAAAGGCTCAACCAAGAGAAGGTCTCTGTTTATTTAGAAGACACAGACTAACTTTCCTAGATGGTGAGGCTCAAAATGGGTTCTCTCTTTTCTCAGTTTTCTGACCTGTCTGGTCCACCTCTAACATGGATTGCCCAGATTACTTTATATGGTCATTAGGTATTTCCTATATGAAATTAGAGGTTCCCAGTCAGGGTTCCAGTCTCATGAATGGCTATGAATTTTGTACAAAGGATTAAGAAGCTAGACTCTATTGCCATTAAAGCTCAAAGAATTTTTTTTTTTAAGCTTTGGGGTTATATTTATCACTACCAAGAATAAACTATCAACATGTAAATAAATCTTTTTTTGTGTGTGTGTGTGGTATTGGGGATTGAACCCAGGGCCTTGTGCATGAGAGGCAAGCACTCTACCAATTGAGCTATATCCTCAGCCCTAGTCTTTATTTTTATTTTTTTAGTTGCAGTTGGGTACAATATCTTTATTTATTTTTATGTGGTGCTGAGGATCAAACCTAGTGCCTCACATGTGTGAGGTGGGCACTCTACCACCCCAGCCCTAGATTTTTCTTCTTCTTTTTCTTTTATTGTAAACCAGTATGGCAATAAGAGAGTGCCTTAAAAGATCTGCCTGGTATTTTGACTGGAGAAACTTTGTATTATTTGGAATTGGTTTCACTCCTCTAAATTAGTTATTGCTCTATAAATCTAGTTTAGTGAATAACTTTATTTTTCCAACTTTCAGGTTTATCAGGCTTAAAAGGTAGGATTATTTATTTTTCCTATGCTCAGAATTTCTCCCATTCTCTAAAGTAGGACTACACGTTTAATTTCTAGTTATTGTAAAATGAGTAATGTAAACTGAATTTTACACTATCAGAATATTTTTGACATTAATTACTTTAACCTGTGAAACTCAGTTCAGGTCATCTACATGGCAGGAACTTTTTATAGACTGTTATTAGTTGTAAAGAGAGTCACATTTTATATGCTATAGCTCCAGTGAAAAACCTCACGGATTTATAAAATAGAATATGAATAAATGTGATTGGATTGAAAAAACAAAACTGGCCAGATGTGGTAGTGCATGTCGGTAATTTCAACTATTTGGGAGACTGAGGTGGAGTACTGCAAGGGGGAGGTAGCTCAATGGCGAAGTGCTGCAAAACCAAAAAAAAAACAAAACAACCTGCAAAAATCCAAATTTGGTATCAGGGAGTTCTTCCCAAAGGCTATTTGTCTTTTTAAAATCAAGCAGATTCTTAACAAGTCAGGGTAATGGAAAATAAATGGCTGTTTTAGATTAAAAGAAATTTAAGAGACTTAAGAGGCTAACACAATCAAACGCAATGTGTAATCCCTGCCTGGATGGATACAGATTGAACAAACTAGATGTAAAACAGTTTGGTGGGAGCAATTGGGAAAGTCTTGAATATGAAAATGTTGCATATGGATAATATCAGGAAATTGTTAGATTTTATAAAGTACAATAATGATATTGTAGTTACATAGGAAAATGTCCCCATTTAAAAAGATGCATATAGGAGTAAATAGGGGTAATGCCAGTAAATTCCTTTAAAAACTTCATCCAAAAAAAAAGTAAATAAAAAAAGAATACTTTAAAATTAGATGGTTGATGAATTCCATACACCATCTTCTTTACCTTTCTATATGTTTGATTTTGTTTATAATGAGGGTGGGTAGAAAACGTATGTATGTGAGCGAGCTGTGGATCCTCCAAGTGTCCATGCTAAAGCGCTAGGATGCTATGAATAAAGGATACTGACTTTGAGAACCATGTATTAAGAATCAGGAAACTTCTTGTATTAAATTTAAGAATATTTTCCTTAAGAAATGGAGAATAGCCCAGAATGGTGGCACATGCCTGCTATCCCAGCAACTCAGGACGTTGAGACAGAAGGATTGCAAGTTTGAGGTCAGTCTCAGCAACTTTGTTTGAGGCCTTAAGCAACTTAGTGGGACCCTGTCTCAAAATAAAAAATAATAGGGTTGGGAATGGGCCTCAGTTATTAAGCACCCCTGGGTTAAATAACCAATACCAAAAAAAAAAAAAAAAAAAGGAGAATTCATTTAATAATATGTATATAATTCATAAGGCTAGGTATTCTTATTGCATTCTTCCAAAATACATTATCCATTTAAACTTTTGTTTTCTATTATAGGAAACAAGATTTTCAAGAACAAGAACCCTAGATACATGAAGTTAATGGAAGTTAATGGAAACCTTTCTTTGGCTTTTCCAGTTGTGACCTGTTTTCCACCAATTATGCAGCACATACCCATCCAACATCTTCTGCAGGCAACACAAGACTCCTCTTGAGCAGATACCATCAGACTCACATACAATCTTATTATTAAGGTTTTATTTAATTTCAGAGTGCAAATATTTTTCAGATGAGCATTAGCTTTTATAAACTAAGAAGCTATATTTTTGCCCTTAAACACCCCTTATCTGAGTATGACTTATATCCACATATATTGAAGCCAATCTGCCTGTCATGACATTTCCTTTCAAGCACTTGTTTTTTAGACCAGTAATCTTGCTACTAAAGTTAATGTTTATTCTCTTTCCTTCTCACATTTTTAATTAAAAGGTCTCCCAGCTATATTTGATTAACATTAAATCCCAAATCCAAACTGTTAAGTTTGATTTGTTTTTAATGGCTCCCCTTAAGTATGAGACACATCTTGCTTTTGTTGAATTTCTTTCAGTATTCCAGGTGAATACAAAAAAAATTTTGTTTTGTTTTTGTTTTTGTAATTAATCCAAGGTTTACAATAGTACAAGTCTAAATCACAGTGACTACAAAAAGTTACATAAATTCTAATACATTGGCAAATGCCACCTCAGGATGAATCACTTGTCAATTTTTTTCAACAGTCTAGGTCTTTCATGAGCAATGACTGTTTTGCTTACTATGTTTTTTACCCCCAGTTAAAATATTAAAATAGAGCAAAGCTAAGTTCATTTGCAGACTGAAATCATTAAGCAGTTTAATAGATGTATTTTGAAATAGTCTATTACAATTCTTAAAATTTAAAGATGGTGAAGAAAGGTCAACACTAAATGATGATAATATTGTACAATATTGTGCAAAGTTCTGAGAACTGGAAGAAATTATTTAAATTTTTCTTTTTCTTCTTTTTAGTTGTAAGTCACTTGCTTATTTTAAGGAAGAGAGAACTGGGTACATAGCAAAGAAATATCAAAACTAGTTTAACTGAATGAAACAAACTTTATTATTTTCCCTTATGTTGGTAAGTAAAACAAACTTTGTAAGTGGGCCATGGAAATAGAGGTCTCTTTTAAAAAGTGTCTAGACAGCCAGTGTCAATTTTGAAACTAAAAGTTAGATCTGAAGTCTATATTACCTTTAATTCACATTTTACATTTTTCTTCATAATTAAACTTTGAAAATATTACAACTGGATATTTCTTTAAACAGACAGACTGCATGTTCTATAGTTATAATGAAAAAGTAGTTAAAAACTCATGGAGAGTTTTTCCAGCAAACTTGTAGCTTGTGTCTTGGCTAAATACTCAAGGAGTAATATAGCATGTTGTTTAGTGTCTCTTTCCTAAAGAGAACTTTTGTATTGTAATTTATTTTTTATTATGCCTTAAATACCATGTAAATAAACCTTTAGTAATAAAGAATTATAAATGAAATGATTTGCTTACATTCCAAATTTGAAATTTTACATAGCAGATAACAAAACAGAGGTATATATTTTATCTTCACTGAAAAGTTTTCTTAGTAGAGACAACCTGGGAGTCAATAATGGATAGAATTAGTTTCTACTGGGTAAGTAAAATTATATGGATTTCCACAGAATTGTTACACTGCTTTGGATAACTGGGAATTGGGCATAACAACACTACTTAGTTTGTGGACTCCTGAAGGAAAGGTATCAACTATTCTATTTGGTACTCCTGCAATACTCGCTCAACAGAGAAAACTACTAGCTTTCAGGTCTAGTAAAGAGATAGTGGCAAGTTATTAAATCTTTCCAAAAGTTGAAGCATATTTTTGGCTCTCTCCTGCTTTCATTAATCATGTGCGATTCCAGACTAGGATAGCATAATTAAAGCAAGGTTCTGTACCATCTTTTTCAGAAGGATGTGATGCCATCTCATTTCAAGTACTTTGATAGCAAAGCTTTCTTTTCCAAATAAAAGATACAAAATCCTAGTTCCTCTTCACCCCTAATATATGATGTAATTATGTGACCATCATTAAGACTGTAAACAGCAATTTAATAAACATCCAATTCTGGATGCTATAATAGCTACATTGAAAAAGACAAAAATCAGAGACTATGGCAAGTATTGGCCACAGGGCCTAATACATATTTATTTACTGACTGACTCTGCATATGCTCCCAGGTCTCTTTGTACTCTAAATTTATGAGAATCTATTCCGAGAGAGTTCCACTAAAATCTCTAAACGTATAGACAACATCTGGAACACAGCTGCTCAAGATTATTTAGTCGTGCAGAATTCTATAAAAATAAAACCGAAAATTTTCCTAAGTCTGTAACCGATTTCATTTTCAAGCAAAAGAGCAACGAGCTCTCACGAGTCAAAGAATCGCTGGTCAGTGAAACCAGGTGCGATTCTGGAAGGTAGCCACAGCCTATGGCATCTCCGGATGGCCATTTTAAGTTTTCTCGCTGACGTCACTTCCGGGGTTACCTGAGTCGTTACCGGGAGCCGCAAACAAGGTGTACAAGTATCTGAAGAGCTGTCGGGATGCAGCAGAGCGGAGCGGCTGGAGGCCGTGGCTGCGCGCTCTTTTCAGTGCTGGGTATCCTATTTTTCCAGGGTGAGTTCGCCGGCTGGCTGTGTCCCACTTCCGGCTGGGGGGGTTAGGGAAGATGGTCGCTTTTCCGGTTCCGGGTGGGGGGGGGTCTCATCAAAGCCCCCGCTCGGTTTCTGGGAAGGAAGGAAGGGAGGGTGCCGCGGAGGATGTTCTCTTGGTTCACGCCACCCACAGAGGAGAGTTGCTATCTTGTCAGTCCTTTCCTGAGCTCGACCACCTTGTCGCTGTAGTTTGGTGATGACATGACTAGGTGGAACCACAAAGTTCAGGCTTTGGGGGCAACGCGTGGTTATCTTGTATGAGATAATCTGTGGTAGTCTGCTGTTACCCTGATGACAGAAAGGAATTTCTAGTGGCCATAGTGGGTCCCTTTAGTTTTGGGAAACAAAATCGTTACTTGATAATTTTATTTTTTGTAAATGAATATCTTGGGCTATGAAATAAAACGTTTGTCACAGGTCGTGATGTGATTTTGTTATTATACAGAAGTATATTGTTGAAGAAGCAGCAACTGCCTTAGCATTTAAAAAAACATTTTTAAAAATATAAGGTTATGTCGGTTCTTAATCGTCTGAGTGATATCAGAAATACATACGGACACAATAACACTTGTAAAAATTGAGTATGTTTTGATTTCATGTAATTTTCAAATTGCGTATATTTCTGTCCAACCTAATTAATTTCATTTTAGGGTGTAATTATTTCCTGTTTTTTTTTTTTTTTGTGTGTGTGTGTGTCTTTTGGGGAAATCAAATATAATTACAGCAGCATTAGAGTGAATTTTTGACTTCATAAATCTTCCCTGTAAGTAATGGATATTTCTGAAATGAACCTTTAATATTATATAAATATAAATCAGGTGCCCTAATTCTCAGCAGGTAAGACTGGGAAGTTTTTATTTATCTGGTGACTAATATTCTTGCTGCCAGCACACTCCCCAATTCCTCCCAGCTGCCTGTGTCATCATAAGTGTCCAGTTTTTCATCTAAATTCCTTTTGCAATATAATATTTAGTTTGACCTGTCACTTCAAATATACCCAGATCTCTTTCTCTCTTTCTCTTACACACACACACACACACACACACACGAAATGTCAAATATTCTATCAAGGAAAAAAATTTTCTAGAAATAATTGGTGTTTTCTTGAACTTAATGCCATTTCACATTGAAGAATTGCTTCAAATTCAGTGGACCAAATAATTCAAACATTAAAGTTGATTTTATCATCTTCTTGTATGTTGAGGAGATTTATATCTTTTTAAATAACAGGTGTATTGAGATACGGTCACATTCTATGCAATTTATCCATTTAAAATGTACAATTCAGTGGCTTATAGGAGTCATACAGTTGCATAATCATCACCACAACCAATTTTAGAATATTTTTGCCACCCCAAAGAGAAATCCTAAGCCCATTCCCACCTTCTCCCAACCCCTGATAACCACCAGTCCACTTTGTAACTTTGTGGATTTGCCTGTTCTAGGTATTTTATATAAATGGGATCATACAATGTATTTTCTTTTGTGACTGAATTCTTTCACTTAGTGTGTTTTTGATGTTTCATCTTTGTCTTTCTTTCTTTTTTGGCCTGACTTTTGAATCTGTTAGGTAATAGACTTTGTTTTCATACCAATATTTATTTGCCTTTCCTCTTCACAGATAGGACATATTTAATTATTAGTTTGTTCAAATTCTCCTTAAGTTATAAGTCTAATCCTATTATAGCAGTTGTTGAAATGTATAGAAATAATTGAGTAGGTAATATAGTCTTCTCTTTTCCATGTAAATGTGCCATTATATGAACAAAAGATTGGCAGTTGCATATTTTGGAAAATCAAGTTTATAAAATTAGGAACTTTATTCTGTCATATTTCTTTAATTTCTTCCATTTATAAAATTATGTTAAATATGATTTTCCTGTTTTCTTCCCCAATTAAAAATTTTTTTGTGGATATTTCTTTAGTTTACTGTTTTTACCTGTCCAGAATGCTCTTTGACTCAGGTAGAAAAATAAATATCTGCAAAGTCATTAGTCTAAGGTAGAAATTTCTGAATGAATGTAATATTGGATTACAAGGGAAGAGACTTAGAAGGGGATTTGGTAGGGACTGTCAGAGATGTGAAATTTACATGTTTGTGTGTGTGTATATAGCACAATCAGTGTGGGGTGTTGGTTGGGGAGAGAATAAAGGAATTCTGATTTATAACTCTAATCCAGGTCTCTTCTTTGCTCTTTGGAAAACTTTCCATAAAGGGGTAGAGAGTAAATATTTTGGGCTTTTCAGGCACATAGTCTCTGTTGTAACTACTTGGTTCTGCAAAAAGTGCAAAACACCATGATAGACAATATACGTAAGCAAATGAATATGACTATTTTTAAAAAAATATTTATTTTTTAGTTTTAGGTGGACACAATATCTTTATTTTATTTTTATGTGGTGCTGAGGTTTGAACCCAGTGCCTCGCTCATGCCAGGCGAGCGTGCTATCACTTGAGCCACATCCCCAGCCCAATATGGCTGTTTTTTAATAAAACCTTGTTTACATAAATACGTTGAATTTTTTATCTGTGTATCAGGATAATTCTAGAGATTATAATTGGTTTACCTCCATCTGGATAACCCACAGAGCAAAGGGTAAGATTAGTTGCTAGTTTTTCTTAGTTTGCTCCTCTCATGAGACCCATTTGCATTTGGCCCATGGGCCATTGTTTGCTGACCTTTAACCTAAACCAACTGCTCCTTTGATAGTATCCCTTGGGTATCTCACATACATCCAAATTTATCCAGAATCAAATTCATGTTCCCTTTCCAAGTCTGGTACATCTCTAGTCTTCCCTCTCTAGTGACTAGCATCACCAAGTCAGGTGGTGTCATTCTTGACACTACCCTTTCCCTACATTAATTTTTCATGTTGCAATTGTGTGATTTTTCTCCTTCAGGTTATACCAGCTCAGTCTAGAAGTGGTCATGCAATAGAAAGACAGAAGAATAGGGGAGTTAAAAGTGTTGAAAATACTGTAAAGAAGGTGAAAGGGGGTGGGTGGGTTATTAATGAGTATATTTTGGTCCTGTACTAGAATTTATGGAGACTCATTCATCTCTTTCTCTCAGTCTCTCTTTTTCTGACCCCCTCTGTCTTCATTTTTGCCCCAGAGGTGCTTGAATTTAATGGAGGAAATAAATAGCATTTAAATTTACTTGCAATCAATGGCATATGTACTTGAGTAGCTCTGTGTACTAAGTATTATGAGAATGTTGAAGAAATAGTGATGAACTTTATCAGAAAACTTAGGAAAGCATCACAAAGGGGCTAATATGTGTGTGTTTTTTTAAGAAGTGTGATTGTTGAGGGTACGGTGTGATGGAGAAAAACCCAGGCAGGATTGGTAGAGATGGGGACAACCTTCCAGACAGAGACATATTCAAGGAAAGACACAGGTCTTGAAAGGACACAGTGCCTTTGGGAAATGGAAAGACATTTTAGGCATGGTAAAGGGGATGGGATGGGTAGGTGGCAGAGTGGCAGAAGTTTGGGGCCAAATTGTTGTTTGGGTTTTATTCCATGATGCAACAGGGAATTACTGAAGGCTTTTAATCTATATAATGTTCATTTTAATAATAATATTTATTGAAAAATTTTATTATTAAGCATTTTAGGTGTTATCATTTTAATTGTATTGAATCTTCACAATAATCCAATGAAGCAGATTTGGTTATTATTCCTACATACTAAGTGAGGAAATTAAAGTTTGAACAGGTTGGGTAACTGATCATGGTCTCACAGACAGAAAGTTGCTGAGATAGAACTTAAGTTCAGGTCTGGCTAATTCTAATCCATGCTTTAAATTCTGTACTGTACCTGTAATACTTGTGCTTTAGAATAAAAGAGTGGGATGAGGGGACAATACAGATTACCCATTTGTTTCCACCTTCTAGTTTTTAGACTTAGGTAAGGATTTTTCCACATTAATGTGTCATTGAAGTTGTTATTAGTGAGCTCAATCTTGGTCTCCTCCTTTTAAGAGGAATGTGACCAAACTAGATTGTCTAGAGAGGAGTGACAAAAATGATTCAAAGCAGGCAGAGGTAGAGGCAGGGGAACTGATGACTCAGAGCTGTCTGTGGTAGGAAAGGTCGAGACAGTGTAGAAGAACTGAATAGGTGAATGTTGATACGGATGGTACAAAGATGAATTGGACGATAACTCAGTAGCTCTTGGTAAGCTTCTAGTGTTGTACATGTTTTAACTCATTTAATCTTCATAGTGACCTTCCCATAAGGTCCTTGTAAGAATGAGGAGATGGAGCACATACAGTAGCTTGCTGAGGGCCAAGCAGTATCACTGGGATTTGAACTGGGATTTGGACTGGGACTTGAACCCTCTTCATTCTGTGTGTCTTTGGCTAACAGAAGAATCATGGCTCATTGAGGTGGATAAAGAAGCAGGAAAAACAAAGTGCTAGAGACTTAATTTTCTAAAATATGACTCTTTAGTGGAAAATAAGTTTCTACTATTTTCTGAAAGCAGAAATTAATAAGAAAAAAATGCCAGCTCTTTTGGGGGAGATGTCGTGTCAAAGTTGAATATGAGCGAATATGAGTAGGTCTCTGCAGGGTTTAAAAATGCTCTCTTATTTTTGCATTGTAGAATGCATCCAGTTTTTCTGTTTTCCTCCCCATAAGTAAATTTGAACAAATGTGTGATTAATTAACTAGCTTTAATAAAGAGGGGAAAACCAGATAGGCCACGGAATAGTTTTTTAAAATTCTTTGAAAATTTTTCCTATTCTTATTTCCTATTCTCATTTTACTGGTGATTGAGACAGTGACAGCTTCTTGCTACATTTATGCTGTACTTGGGGTAAGTCCCTTAGACCCCACGAAAACTGTCATATTCCCAGAGCATGTGTGTGCTCTGGGATTTGAGAAATGGAAAAGGGTGAATGGTTTTGCCTTTTTGCCTACTGTGGACAGCCCTGCTCACTTGTACTTAATTTAACCATAAACTTGCATTTTGGAAAAAATGCTTGTGTGACTAGGTTTTAAATTTTACCCAAGTATTCAATCTATGATTTAAGATTACAGAAGATAAAAATGCTATCCTAGATTAATGGGGATATCAGGTCCTTGTCCCTTGTGGGATTGCCTGAGAAGACATTGATTGCCCTGACTTTTTGATGAGAGCCATGAAAATGATAAATAGCATGCCTGTGTTGTTCATTGACATCTGTACATTCCACCAAAATTAATACACTTTAAATGTTTGGGCTTGCTTTGATTAGGTGTTCATATCGTCCTTTCCTTGGAGATTAATGCAGATGCTCATGTCCGAGGTTATGTTGGAGAAAAGATCAAGTTGAAATGTACCTTTAAGTCAACTTCGGAAGTCACTGACAAACTGACCATAGATTGGACATACCGCCCTCCCAGCAGCAGTCGCACAGAGTCTGTAAGTGTGTACTTTTCAGAAAGCTGCTTTGAGTCTTCTGGGTCAACAGTTTTGAAATCTTTTTATTGCAAATAACAGGCATTCATGAAGCCTTCTCCTCTTAGAACAGAAGATGGACTTCTATGTAAAGGGAAGGAGATGAGCTTCTGCCCTGTGTGACATTTATTTGATCACAGAGGACGTTTTATTCTTCCATTTAAGAATCTTGCATATAACGTTTTATTCTTCCATTTAAGAATCTTGCATATAAGTTGGGTGTGGTGGCACATGCCTGTAATCCCAGCAGGGATTAGGAAGCTGAGGCAAGAGGACTGCAAGTTCAAAGCCAGCCTCACAATTTAGCGAGACCCTAAGCAGCTTAGTAAGACCCTATCTCAAAATTAAAAATTAAAAAGGGCTAGGGATGTGCCCAGTGATTAAGTGCCCCACGGTTCAATCCCTGATACCGAGAGAGAGAGAGAGAGAGAGAGAGAGAGAGAGAGAGAGAGAGAGAGAGAGAGAGAATCTTGCATATAATTTGCAGGAATAAAATGGCCAAAAAACTAGAGGAAATATGGTTTAATTTTTTTATAGCTTCATTTTCACATTTGATCTACTAAGAAGTGTATCTCCAGGACCACTGACTAAAACAGTTCTATGGGTCCCAGTCACAGACATCCTTTCTCTTAAAACTAGCTGCTCATTTCCTGTTAAATAAAGTTGTCTCAGTGGGTGTATCTGCTTGTATAGCTGTACTTTGTAGATTTATCTTGGCTTCTTCTCCCAGCAGGTAAACATCTGCAGTGATTTATATAGCTGCCTTTGAAGAAAGTGGTGGCACCTTGTGTTGGTGATAGATGTTGTTGGTGACAGATGGTCTTGCTATATTAGAAGCAATATACTTTAGTCACACATATAGAAACCATTTATGGTTCAAATCCCATTGCGGGTATCTAATTGAAGATTAGATACTATAAGACACCCTTTCTCTTTATGATTCCAGCAGTATCCTTAGCTCAGTATAAGTGCTATTCAACAATGTGAATCTCACAACCATATATGTAAGACTAGTTTTTTGAAAGTATTCTTAACTTATTTATGCTGTTTTCCTTTGTTGGGAAAACTTTCCCTTTCATTTTAATGTGTAAGCTTTGAATTCTGTTTTGGAGTCATTTTTCAGTACCACGTAGCTTGGAGCTAGGCAGTTAATTCTAGGGAAGGAAGCTAGACTGCATTCGTGGTTCCTTTTTCTTTAAAACAGTTAACTTTATTCTGAGTATTCAGGAAACCATGGCTGCCCTTGTTTGGCTCAACCTCCTTGGCCAAAAGTAGGACAGAGCAAGCAATGATCTTCTTGGGTAAGAAACCTTATAGACAAACAGTGGATCTCTGTGAGACTGGTAGAAAACCAGCAAACCCACCCAAGTTGGACTCAGTAGACCTTTAAAGTCACATAATGTAATGTTGCAGTTACACAGTTAGTGTAACTGCGTTGATCAATTAGTAAGGATTTGAGTATCACTAATTTAGTATGGAACTTATTGGTTAGATTAACCTTGAAGATACACAGCAGCCTTGTTTTGTCAATCAGGACTTTCAAACCCTTTTATCCTGATGCTGGTAATCAGTGGTAGGCTCTCTTTACCTCCCTTTGGAACACTCATCTCACATATTATTTCTTGATAACTGTATTTACCACTAGAATGTAAGTTCCATGAGGGTAGGAACTGTGCCTGTGTGGCTCCCAGTGTACTGTTTTTTTTTTTTTTTAACATACTGCCTAGAATGCACTCTGCATGTAGTATTTGTTGAACAAATGAACCAACAAGTGATTCAGCATCTTCTCTGGGAAATTGCTGATCAGTTGGGAAATTCAGTGGTTATAAATGCCTAGTTGCTTAAGTGGGAAGTTACCAAGAAAACAAAGGAATTGTTTGTATCTTGAATCTTGCATAAGAGAGAAAACTTACATTGTTTTGTGTACCTGGCTGACCCACCTCCAGGTATAATCAGGGGCTTTTGATGATGAAGTGTCTGATCACCAAGTCCAGTCCAGCACTGTTTTAATTCAATATACATTCATTGAGTCCTTTTTATGCATTTGACTTGGATTTATATTAACTTCCAGGGTAGATAATGTGAGAGAGACTGGATTATATTACACTATGCCAGTGATTTTGAGAATAAACAAAAATCTCCCTTTTGTTACTTAATAATAGGTACCATTGAGTAAGTCAGTTTTTTGTTTGTTTATTTGTTTGTTTTTGGTCTTGTTCCCCTTTCCATAATTTGGAATAGTTAGTTATGTGTTAGTTATAACACATATCATTTAGTGTTATTATAAGGCTAAAGTGAACAAATATGTGGAAGTCATTTGTAAACTATAAAGTGCTATAACAATATGAGACATAACTTTAGAGCAAGGTTTCTCAACTTTGGCACTGTTGACATTTTGAGCCAGATGATTCTTTGTTGTGGGGGCCATCATCCCATGCATTGTGGGAAGTTTAACAGTAATTCTGGCTTCGAATATTCATTAGATTCCAGTAGGCTCATCTCCCCACTGTGACAACAAAATGTCTCCAACTCAACAGTGAGAAAACAAAGAACCTAATTAAAAAATGAGCAAAGGATCTGAACAGATAATTCTCAAAAGAAGAGCTATCAATGGCTATCAGATACATGAAAAATGTTCCATATATCAATTATTATGGAGATTCAAATTAAAACCACGATGAGATATCACCTCACATCTGTTAAAATGATTATTATAAGAAAGACAAGTTATAAAAAATGTAGGAAGGATTAGAGAACAGGGAACCCTGTATACTGTTTGTGGGGATGTAAATTAGTATAGCCATTTTGGAAAATAATATGGAGGCTCTTAAAAAACTAAAAATAGGGGCTGAGGTTGTGGCTCAGTGGTAGAGGACTTGCCTTGCATGTGTGAGGCACTGGGTTTGAGCCTCAGTACCACATAAAAATAAATAAATAAAATAAAGATATTCTATCCATCTGAAAAAAAACTAAACAAACAAACAAAAATAGCTAGGTATATAGCTCAGTGGTAGAACACTGCCAGAAAAAACAATCACATTGTATCCCATGAATATAATAATTATTATTTGTCAATTAAATATAAATAAATAAGTTTTGAAGATGGAAAAAAGTCTCCAACTATTGCCAAATGTTTTATGAGGAGCAGAGTTGCCCTGGTTTAAAGCTATTACTTTAGGATGTTAAGAATTTAGAAGAGATTCAAGAGTTAGGATCCCAGGATTCTTTCATTATTCCTTTTTTGAATTGGCCTTTAGGATAATAGGATGAACCAGAGGATGAAGGTGAAAAAAAAAAAAGCATTTAAAAATTTTCCCAACTACAAGAACCCATTTATATAGTTGTATTTTACTTTGGAACTACTTAGCTTAACATTTTCCAAATTAACATTTTTCTCTCATGGTGTTGCTTTCTTAGATTTTTCATTATCAGTCTTTCCAGTACCCAACCACAGCAGGCACATTTCGGGATCGGATTTCCTGGGTTGGAAATGTGTACAAAGGGGATGCATCTATAAGCATAAGCAATCCTACCCTTAAGGACAATGGGACATTCAGCTGTGCTGTGAAGAATCCCCCAGACGTGCACCATAATATCCCCCTGACAGAGCTAACGGTCACAGAAAGGGGTAAGCTTATTGACATCAGCCTTCTGCAGTGCTTTGGGATTGTTCTGGAGTGCTCATTGAAAAGCAATGAGTTGGGTCATTGGATCCAGTTGAGTCATTGGATCATTGTGACAAAGTGATTTATCTTGCTGCCCTGTTAAGATGAATTTTTCATCTTTATTCTGAAAACTGAATTTTCTCTTCAAATTTTGTCATAGTTTCTCCATTATCCCCTTTTCATTTTAGCCTCAGGTAACCAAAGGTCTTGTGGAATAGATGACAAACCCTTTAGTAAATGGAAGGTTAGCATCTCTGTGAAACAGAAGTCACTCGGGTTTTCCTAATATGTTCACATTCCCAGCTATGAGACAGTGTTCTTGCCTATGTCTTGAAAGGGTATTTCCTCTGTTGATGGATGTGGTACATTTCTTTTATGTTACCAAGGGCAGCAATTTCCTTTTAGTATAAAACAGGTTGAGAGGAAGTTGAGGACTGACCTTTTTTTTCTACATTTTTCCTTGGTGACTATTAAGTGGTTATTCTAGTTCTTAATTGAATTTAAACCAAAGATTTAGAGATACATTATGATTCATCATAGTAACCTTATCATTCTTGGATCTTCCCTCCCCTGCCTTCCTTCTTCCTTCTTCCCTCTTTCCCTTCTTCCCTTTCTCTTCTTCCTCAAATTCCTTCTTCCTCTTTATTGTCTTTTGTCTTTATCTTCTTCAACAATAACTGACAGGTTTCAAAGACAGGAGCACATTCATAATGCTGGAATGATTAGAAACTGATTAAGTTTTTCTGGAAAGCATTTTGAGAATAGGAATTAGATTCTTAGAAGTATATGTCCTTTGATCCTGTAATTTCATTTCAAAATTTAATTTTAAGGAAATAGAGGTAAACATGAGGATTTATGTACAAGGATGTTCATCCTAATGTGACTTTCGAACTCAAAAGAATTTGAAATAAACTTGAATGCCTAGCATTAGAGGATTGATTTAATAAATTTTTTCAATATGGCAGGATACTATGCAGCCATTAAACATCACATCTAGAAGGGATTTTTAATGACATGAAAACATGTTTATTATATTTAGCAAAAAAATGTTAAAATAATATGTAGCATGATTTCTAGATCTAGGAATATGCACCTTACCTTCAAATGCACCCCCATAAACAATACCCCTTGAAAGAAGATTGAATCGGTAAATACCAATGTGTTATTCCTAGGTAGTGGAATTATGGGAGAATTTTTATTCTTCATTGCATTTTTGTGCATTTTCTACATTTTCCACAATGAATTCATTTTCTTTGTAATCAGAAAAAGTACAAGTGCAAAAGCAGAAATTCTCTCATGTCAGAAGAAGCACTTTTACACCTTTTCTTTTTTCCCTCTAGGTTTTGGCACCATGCTGTCCTCTGTGGCCCTTCTTTCCATTCTTGTCTTCATTCCCTCAGTGGTGGTGGTGGTTCTGCTGCTGCTGAGAATGGGGAGGAAGGCTGCGGGGCTGAAGAAGAGGAGCAAGTCTGGCTATAAGAAGTCATCTATTGAAGTTTCAGATGAGTAAGTCCAGCTGCAGCCCTAGTAAACCTATTTCTTTTCAGGGCCCTGCACCCCTCTATCCAGAATTCTATCATGTTGAGTTTAGTTCTGCTGGTGGAGTTTCCTTTTGGACAGGATGGTTCTGGTTGAAAGTGACACTTGTGGATATTGATTTGGAGGGAGTTGGAGGGACTGATAGTATTCTCCTCACCTTCTCCTTTGGAAATCAGATTGTGCAATATTGTGGTTCTAAACATTTTTTCCCCATTGGGTACTGGGGATTGAACTCAGGGGCACTCAACGACACTGAGCCACACCCCCAGCCTATTTTGTATTTTATTTAGAGACAAGGTCACACTGAGTTGTTTAGCGTTTTGCTTTTGCTGAGGCTGGCTCTGAACTCATGATTCTCCTGTTTCATCCTCTCGAGCTACGGGGATCATAGGCGTACACCACCATGCCCAGCACTGACATTTTTTAAAAGTAGATATCTCATTTTTTTCAAAGTTTAGGGGAAACTCCAAGTCAGTTTTTTTCCCCTTCTTTCTCTGTTTCTCTTTTTGGCACTAAGCTGATTTCTCCTGACAGAAAGAAAATACATGTGCAATGAGGGAGGCTTTAAGAATAGCCATGGAGGGTAAGGACAATTTAAATAAGCAAGATCTATTCTTGGTCAGCAGATGCTCCAAAGGGCTAAGTGGATTGTGGTTATCAAAAGCATTTATTAAACATCATTCTGCCAGTGAGCAGCCATGATCCAGTATTTTCCCTCAAAAGATGTCTACTAAAAAAAGTAATAAAAATTAACATAAAAACCCTGTGAGTTCTTTATTATCTGTATTAGGAGTCTTTAACATGGGGAGGAAAGTCTGACCCTTAAAGGGTCCAAAATTTTTATTCTCTGTGTGTGTGTGTGTGGAGAGAGAATGCCCTTAGTAAATAATCTGTGGTTCCCCCAAAATAAAGAACTATTGACCAAAATCCCAATGTTTATTTCAAAATATGGTATACAAAACCTTTCATCAACTGATCCTAAGTCACACACTGCTTTCTATAATTTCTTCTCATTCACCCCACCTCAACTATAGTGAGCTTATTTTTCCCACTAGACATACTACATTTAAGTATAGACATATTGTTTTTATTTTTCCTTGCCTCCTTTCTGCTTTTTTTTTTTAAGTGGTGCTGGGGATTGAACCCAGGGGCTTGTGCATGCAAGACAAGCATTCTACCAAGTGAGATATGTCCCCACAGCCCTTTCCCTCTCTTCTTTGCTGGGAAACTCTTTCTTATCTTCTGGGAACAGCTGAAATATCCCCTTCTCTTGACTCTTCCTGAGTTCTGAAGGGTGAATCAGTCACTCTCTGCCCTTTACTGCCACAGCAGTTTCACCTTAATTCTATTAAGACATTTATCACATTGTATGATATAATACTTGTTAAGTTATAGAAGACCCCTCACCCCCGCCATGAGATCATTGGCTCTTCGAGGGACCAGGTTTTATTTATCTTTTTATCCCTAGTGCAGCACAATGCCCCAGACATTGTTGGTGCTTAGTACTTTTTTGAATGAATGAATGGTTATGACTAGCTGCTATTTATTGAGCATTTACTATGTGCTGGGCATGTAGTGGTAATATCTACATTTCATAGATGAGGAAAGAAGCTCCTGGAGTTGAAGTGATTTGTCCAGTTATCCTGCTAGTAAGTGGAAGAGCTGGGGTCTAAACTCAGACCTGTCTGACTTTAAGACCTGAGCTTTTAACTGGCCCACTATACTGGATAGTGACAATAGGGATTTGGTTTGTACCCTTTCCACAGCACTGACCAGGAGGAGAAAGACGAGTGCATGGCAAGGCTTTGTGTCCATTGTGCCGAGTGTCTGGTAAGTCCTTGCCATTTCTTCTGTTGACTGTGGTGTCTCACTTTCCTCCCTGCTTAAGGGGACTCTATGTCGTCAAAGGCAGCAGAGAATATACAGGTAGGTCCAAAGAAGGTATGAACCAGTATTTCCCCAAAGCATTTTGGCCTCTGGGGATCTCTACCAATTCTAAGAATGATTTTTTTTTCCTGCCTCATGGGCATAGAGTGGTATTCTTAGGTCAGGAATGGGGCTAGAAGAGGAATGTCTCATGCCATTGAATTCATACTAAGACACTTCAACTCACTGGATCCAGAACCTTGAATTTAACTTTTAGGCTGAGCTTTGGTATTTTCCAGGGAGTTAGAGTTTTAGGTAACTTAATGTCTTTTATCAATAAGAAACACTATTTTGGAAGGCCCAATTTTTCATTTAAATTTCAAAAAACTATCATCCTTCCCCCTTTGGGCAATTGCTGTGACTAATAGGCATGTGTAGCTATCCTAGGATCGAAGGAGGAGGGAAGGCTCTCTGATGTGGTACAGTTGGAAATAGGTCAAAAGCAACTTGTGATCTAGTGTGAAACACACCTGTCATTTCAAGGTCCAAACTTGAGCCCTCTTTGTACTTACTGCCAAGCTCGGCACTTGGTCACATGAGTGTAGCCTAATTATTTATTGCAGTAATCTTTGTTTCTGCTTCTCTCCAGCCCTTGAGTAACATATTAAGATGAGGGAAAGATTATTAGTGCTAGGGAAGAGGGAGTACCTGATGCCAACTCTTCAGGCTTTGAATATTTTTATAACACAAAATAAGTTAGTGTTCTTATGGTTATTATTTGTTGAGCGTCTGACACATGTCACATGCCTTCTTGTAGGGAAGGACATGTCACTTCCTAACCACCATTCTAGGTGGCTATGAAACAGTAGAATGGTGGTTAGGAAGCAGCAGTGAAGAAAAACTGACAAAAACTTCTGCCCTCAAAGAAAGAACTTAACATTCTTTTCCTGATAAACTTTCTCATCCTCCCAGATCAGCTGAAATGTCACCTTTGCTTAAACTGGGGTACAAACACTGACTTAATCTTAAAAATAAGTAAAATATATACTATACCAGGTAGTTTTAATGCTATGAAGAAAAATAGAACAGGAAAGGGAGATGGGACGGCTGGATAGGGGTGTATGAGGATGGTTGGGGACACCCTCACTAAGATGATATTTATGCAAACTGCTAAAAGAAGTAGATAGCAAGCCATATGACCACTGTGGAGGAGCATTTCTAGATTGGGGAGATGAAGAAAAATTAACCAAGGAGGCTGAGAAGTCATAATCAATAAGGTTGAAGGAAAACTGGGTGAATTTGGCATACTGGGAGATAGGGAAGAAAGTGTTTCAAGGAGGGCAAATAAAATGAGAACTGAGAAGTGATTGTTGATGGTTGATAATGTGCAGGCCACCGGTGACCTTTGTAAAAGTGGCTCCAGTGGAACGGTGGAGTCGAAGCCTGACTCGGGGAGGTCAAGAAAGATTCCAAAGAGACACTGGAGAATGTGGGTGTGTATAGCTTGCCTTGCTGTAGCCCGATTCAGAGAAATAGACAATACATGGAAGGAGGAATGTGTCAAGAATTATTTTTTTTATTATGGGAAAAATTGAGCAAATTTATCAGCTGATGGGAATGATCCAGTCAAGAAGGAAAAATTGATGCCGCAGAAGAGAGAAGGAGGGTTGTTGGGGGTGATGCCAGGATTTAGTGCACACGTGGAGATGTTGGATTGAGGCAAAGGCAGTAGGAGTGTGAAAGAAGAGTAGGGAAGGCCAAAAAGATGGGGCCATATGCTTGTCAGTGGTAAATACGATGATGGGAGACTGCTTCTCTATTCCCAGTGGTAGGAGAAAGCAGTACCATCAGCTGAGAATGATGGGAGGAGGTGTTAGAAGATAAGGGAAAGAGGTTAAGTTATGAAATAGACATTTGGGAGAATAGGAGAATTAATGACCTGTGAAATGCCAGGTAATGCTCATGGCCCAACTTAAGTTAGAAGTAATGTATGTGAGTTTCTGTAATAAGAATAAGAATCATGGTAATAGGAGCTAAGCTTGAATGAGTGTTAAAGGTGGCAGGCACAGCTAAGTAATTTACATCTATTGTCTCATTCACTTCTCATAATGGTACTGTGAGGTGTATTTTTATTATCCCCATTTCATAGATAAGGAACCTGAGTCTTAGAGAAGTTGAGGAACTCTATCTAGCCAGGTGCAGTGGACACACCTGTAGTCCCAGCAGCTCAGGAAGCTGAGGCAGGAGGATTGCAAGTTCAAAGCAGCCTCAGCAACTTAGCGAGGCCCTAAGCAACTCAGAAAGATCCTGTCTCTAAATAAAATATAAAAAAGGGGCTGGGGATGTGGCTCAGTGGTTAAGTGACTCTGAGTTCAATTCCTGGTACCAAAAAACAAAACAAAACAAAAATCCTCAACAACAACAACAACAACAAACCACAAAGAACTTTATCCAAAGTTACACAGACAGCAAAGGGTGGAACTCAAAGTTAGAGCAACTCCTACTCTAAACTCCTAACCCTGGTCTTGTGCATTCTGCTGAAGGCAGTCACCTTTTCTTGTGTGTTGTGGTTTTCAAAAAATATTCACCAAGGAAAAGGGAGCCATTAGGGCTTTGAGGAGGAAAATATCCCAGTGAACACATTTCATTGAGGTCTTGTGAACTTTCATGGGAATTTAGGTGGGTTGAGTCAGTGGCATTTCAATCTTATTGTCAAAGTCAGCTTTCACTGGAGGATCCAAAGGTGTGATCTTTGCTTAGATTCTAACTGTGGCGTTGCACTTCACGTGTACACCCCCCATGCTGCTCTTTCCTCTGTAGGATTCAGACTATGAAGAGACATACTGATGAAAGTCAGCAGAATGTAAGAAGAGTCACCTAACAACAGAAAACATCCATTCTGCTGCAGCTGTAGCCTTTCCAGAGGAGGGGAGCTGGCCAGGACAGCAGTGACGGAGGATTCTGGAGGTCTTCAGTAAAGACTATGAACCATTTATTTATTGAAGAAATCTTCTTTTTGTATTTATAAACTGTTCAGAAACTTTCATAAGAGACTCATGACTTCCCCTTTTAAAAAGTTACACTCTAATTGAATGAAGAAATTCTTTCCTTGAAGAGAAAGATAACTTTTTGGTTTACCTTTGTTCTTGAATGTATTATGTTTTCTTCCAATTGTTTGAAGGAGAATCCTAAATGTGTGCCACACTGCTGATGCCAAAGTGCTATTTTTTACTGAAGCAAAGCTTGCAGCTCCTGATGATGGGCTACCAGACAAAAGGCTTGTTTGGGATAGATGTCCATTAGCCATGAACTTTTCCAGCTGTGAGTCTACAACATACACTACTTGGTTCAATGATATAATCATTGGTTGTATCTGGGTGACTTGGAATGAGCCCCTAATTTTTTTAGAGTTGTTTGGATCAGGAGTCATTGGTTTGCTTTGACTGGGTTTTTAAACTATTAAAGTATTATCATTTACACTTAAGGAAAGGACTAGTGAGGTAGAGGAATTATTTTTGTTTGTCTTGCTAGGTGCAATTTGGGCCAAGGAGCTTTGTCATTCTACTTTCCTATAGTTGACTAATTTGTGGTTTCCTTCTTGACTTTTCAGGTCAGAGGCAAGAAAAACTCCTCAAAAGGTTTTAAGTGGGGACTTATAGAATATATTGAACAGTTAGTTGAAATTAAATCTTTTCACTTGTATTGTCCTTCAAATTTTTTTGGTCTAAAATACACCAATTATGAGTGAACTATGGTATTTGCAAGCTATTTTGCATAATATTGGAGAGGAGGAAGTAAGGTTATGCACAACATCTATGTCTTCTTTCTCTTCTCTCTATACCTCAAAACACATTCCTCCATTCTACAGCAACCTACTTCACTTTTTGATTATCCCTTCTCCCATCTTTGTTGTTTCAGCAGAGAATGGTCCCTTTCCATGGTTCTTCCCTAGGTGGCTCAGGAGGCTTTCCTATGGTAGTATTATATACTATATATGTTTTTTTAAAAATCAGTTCTACATTTTCTGCCAAGATCTAATTTCTAAAATTTGTGCCATTAATTCCATCCCAATGATTTGGCCTCGTCTCTTTTGTTAATTTAGTGCACAGATTAGAAAATCTGGTTATTTGATAGATATTTTTGAATTGTTTCTGGTCACATCAGTCTGTTGCAGAGGCCAAGACAGGACTGATGTTTACATTTCCAGTGATTAAATTTTATACTTTTTTTTTTCACCATTTGTTAATTATGTGATTCTCTGTGGTCAATTTAACGAGACCATTCTGGTGCCTCAAAAGAGAGGAAAATTTGAGCAGCTGATCTTGAAGATTTAAAAATAGAGATGAAATACTGAGGGGGACTTTTTGTGGGTCTCATTTCTCTGAGAGAGAGAGAGAAGAGATCACGTTACAGGAACCCATTTGAAGCCACATCCCATTGAAGGAGGAACCAGAGTTTGGGTTAGGTTTTCTTGCAAAGATTAGTCTGTCTTGGATGTTTGCTGCTTTAGGTAAATGGTGCTCTGTGAAAACTCAGACATGTTATTTTGTAGCCTTTATCATGATTTGACCCAGTCCCTCTATTTTAAATGACAGAACAGTAGAATCCTTCATGGTAAAGGAATAAGTTGGTACTTTATTCTGCTTCATGGGTTTGTGGTCACATCCCAGTCCAGGCTGCCCTGTTTCCTTCCTGTGTATTGACACTTGAGTTGCTGCTTTTTACCTCCAAAGGAGCAGAAAAGTGTATAGACCCGTGCCTTCTTAGAGGATGGAAGAAAGATAAAGTGTTTTCTTTTTGTTTGTTTAATGTACTGTTTTAATAACTTCTAAGGTCTTAGTCTATTTATTTCCTTTTGCTGCTCTGTGGGCACTTGTCACACCATGTGGTGACTAGCCTTATCTAGAGAGGGAATTTCATTAAAAAGGCATTAAAAACCTTCAGATTTTTTCTTTGCTTTCTCAAGCTTTCTTGTGGTTACGTTATCTTACCAATTTTATGCATTAGGTTTCTTAATTCTGTTACACAATGTAAATTTATAAAGTGCTTTGTGTTTCCCCTGTTAGCTGTTACTGCAGGTCACTTGGGAAACATCTTAATTCTCTTGAATTGGGTGCTATTGCTTCAAGAGAGAAGCTTGCACGTGCTTGTTTTTAAAACAACAACAACAACAACAAAATTCTGGGGACCACATCCTGAACTTGAATGTTGCATAATGAACTACTCAGCTGTAGTCATAAAGGAGAACTGTAAGAATATCCATTGGAATGGAGCAAGACTATTACTTAATTACACAACTCAAAACTTTTAGAAGAGGCAGCTGCATTCCTTTGCCTGCAAAGGAATGTTGTTGGACTGTTAACTGCTATACCTCGTTGCCTTTTTTGTTCATTTGTTTTGTAGGAGGGCATGCACTGTTAGGCCATGTGCACACGATTGTAACTCTTGGTATCTTTATTCTATCACAGTTAATAAAGTTCTTTGTACCTTCTGGCTACCTCTTGGTGTATGTCTTACTTATGAGAGTTGTTATGTGAGGAAAAGGGGGGGTTTGTGGTTTTCAGCATTGAGTAAAAGATTTGTCTGAGCTGAAACCCAGCAAGAACCTACAGCTCACATAGCAGGGCCGATAATAAATTTTCCGAAAATCTGTGAGCTGGTTGCCACGCTGATGGTGACTTGAAATTGCCTAATGGTGGAAATATTCATACTACAGAGATTGCTGCCTTACCAGCATATCACTTTTCAAGGACCATGCAGCATGGTCCTTGAGGAAAGCAAACATTCACAAGCCTTTCATGTGATATGGACAAGTTCCATAAGGCAAGTATACTCAGGCCAATTGGTCAAGTCAATTGAGTTCAGGTTGAAGGCTACATTGAGAATGCTTATTTTAAAGTAGTGAGTTAGACTGAGAGAGCCCTCACACTGAAGAAAACTTGACTTCTTATCTGGGATGTCCAAGTCACCCAAGTGGTTCTCTGGAAGAATAACTGACTGTCTGTATGCTGGAAATGCTGATAACTCACCGTCACAGGAAATCTACACGGCTAGATGGTGAGTTGGAGGACTGAGCAGGGATGGGATAATTGACTGGCTATGTGGCACCTCTGTATTGAGAGAAAAAATGAGAGGTTGCTATATCTTAAAACAGATTTTTTTTTTTTTTTGTACCAGGAATTGAACCCAGGAGTGCTTAACTAGCCACATCCCTGGCCCTTTTTATATTTTATTTTGAGACGGGGTCTAACTTGCTTAGGAACTTGGTAAGTTTCTGAGGCTAGCTATGAACTCATGATCCTCCTGCCTCAGCCTCCCAGGCTACTGTAATGTCAGGTGTGCCTGGCTCAGTCAGATGTTTTGTGTCAATCTTTATTGATTTTGTTTTCATGAAACTGATTTCTTTCTCAGCAAGTTTACTTGATGCCACTCAAGATCCTACCCTCAGAAAGTTTGTAATGTGGAAGGGGAGATGACACCTGCAGAGATCTGGGATGTGAGGCCCACCTCAGTAAGTTGAATTAAGAATGTTTTTTAGAATGAAAATACAAATTAAAAGTGGGTAATGGGCCAGATGACTGAAACAAGAACCTTGATTTGGAGGTTCCTGTTTGTCTCTGCAGCCACCCCGGGACATGTATGCATGCATGCACATTTGCTGTGATGTGCTTAGAGCTTGACGTAGTGTGTTGGCAGAAGTCTCTTCAGTCTGGTGTGGGACCTGCAGCAGTGGAGGATTTAAGTGCATTGCTCGTCCTGGGTATCTTCATCTTGGGTAAGATACTGCTTTGTATTTTGTGAGCTGTTATTGGAACTTTTCTCAGAAGGCTTGTTCTCACTCAGAGGAAAGCTGGTTTAATTGGCGACCTCAGGATCATTGTGGAGCCAATTGCAGAACTCTTGTTCTTAGCAGGGGGACTGCCATAAGGTAGTCCATTGAGTGCAGTTTTAGTTTCTGTAATTTATGTTAAGATCCTCAGAGAGAAGAAGGGTAGAGTTTGTGGGTAATAAGAGAGTAAGCAAGGAGGGAAATGACAAGGCTTCCACTGTTAAATTGCTTTAGAGCAGGGCTGTGAGTGGCTGTCCTTGAGCTTTTGGCAGGACTCTTTCCTTGCTATTTTGTTTTTTTCTCCCCATTCTAGACAAGCCAATACTTAACCTTTCAAAGGCAGGTATTCAAACCTCCCAAGAGGGCTAGGCTGTTGTCCTGACTTTTCACAACCTGGCATGGTCCTGACCTTGGACAAGATTGATGCAAGCTGGTTGAGGTATAATGTGGTCTGAAGGGGGGAGCAGGAGTACATAATGACTTCCAAGGTCCCATTCGAGGACAAGGCTGGCTGATGTAGCCTAGACTGTGTTACGTGGTCTCAGAGGGGAAAACAAGGGCATATTTTAAGAGATTCATGTCTCAGAGTGGTTATGTGGACTTGTATACCTACAAATACTCAAGAGGCCTGTTGAGGTACACAGGAGCATGCAGGGAAGTTGAGGGGTCTTAGCATCACGGCAGAGTGGGCTGTGAGCAAGGGGAGAATGTACAGTTGTCGCTTGATCAGTGGTGGGTTGCCCACTTGGGTCAAACAATATTGCAATATTTGGGGGTCATTTTCACGTCTTTTATGGTAATCTCATTGTCATAAGTCACTTTTCCAAAGTTTTTTTTTCTGTCATAATTATGCCACAGATAACAATTTTCCTACACTATATTTTCTCTTTCTTTAAGTCAATTTTTTAATTTGTTCTTTTTTTAATATACATGACAGTAGAATGTATTTAGATAGGCATACATGGAATCCAACTTCCATTCTTCTGGTTGTACATGATGTGGAATTACATTGGTCATGCATTTAATATATGATTTCCTACACTAGGAAATAGGAAAAGGATCCTGATATTTTCACACACACACACACACACACACACACACACACCCCACCCAAGGAGTGACAGGAGGTGTTATTTAGGAGTTATATTGTGAAAAAGCCATGAGTTCAGGTCCAAATTTTTGGTCAACATATGAATTTCCTATGCAGAATTATCTCAAGAATTATACTGCAGAAGATAAATCAGTATCTGGAAAGAGAAGGAAGTAGGGTGGAGGTAAGAGTTTAATGGTATCTATTATCAAGCTGTTTCTGAATGCTTTTGTTGGGAGTTTTAAAAACAGATTTATGAGTAGATAATCATTTTAAAAATATATGTATTATGTATATTTATTTCAGAATGTTGGTGTTCAGGTATATATGTATTCAGAATACATTTGTATGGGTATACATATATATGTGCATGTGTGTATGTGATATATATTCATGTGCCAAGTAACATTTCAGTCAATGACAATGCACAACAGTGGTCCCATAAGGTTAAACTGCCTAGTTGCATTGTAGCAATTTCAATTTGTATAAGTACATTCTATGATTCTCCTCACAATGGTGAAATAAATCACCTAGTGACACATTTCTCAGAATGCATCTCCATTGTGAAGTGATACATGTGTCTATGTGTGTGTATATATGTGTGCGTGTGTATATAAATGAATAAATGTATATGAAAGAATGTCTGGACATTTTCTAGCTAGGAAATTGAACTTGACTCGAGAGTTCTTGGTTACTGTTCAAGGTGTCTTGAACCCATACGGTGAGTAGTTACTGAGTGCTTCTCTGCACCTTGCACCATGCTACTGCTGGAGGTTTAGTGGCACACAGGCACAGCTCTTGGCTTCATGGGGCTTGTAGTCTTGGTGAATATGGTGAGAGCAAGACTTTAACCACATAAGCATGCTAATAAATAATTAGAAGTTGTGACATGTGCCCTGAAAAGATATATTGTACTATTAAGACATGTGGCTGGGGATCTGACTTAGGATGGACGATTGAGGAGATATTTCACTGAGAAAATGACATTTCACTTGACATTAGAAAGATTAAAAGAGTTAGTGGGATGAAGGTATGAGCAGTAGGGATTTATTCAGGGGGAGCAGACAAATACTGTCCCCCCACTTCTCGGTACTAGGGATTGAACCCAGGGGCGCTCTACCCCTGAGCTACATCCCCAGTCCTTTTTATTTTTTGCTTGGAGACAAGGTCTTGCTAAGTTGCTGAGGCTAGCCTTGAACGTATGATCCTCCTGCCTCAGTCCTCTGAGTTGCTGGGAATACAGGTGTGTACCATCACACCAGCTGTGAGTATTGTTTTGACATATTAAGTTCAGGGACGCTTCCCTCTAACATAGTGATTACTTTCACCAACATGGAAAAGCAGTATAGTGTGACAAGGGTACAGGCTCAGGTCCAGAGTGCCTGGGTTTGGATCCTGGCTCTGCCACCTGCTGTGTGTTCTTATGTAGGTCACCTCACCAATCTGTGCCTCAGTTTTCTTATCTCTTAGATCTCTCAGATTGTGAGGATTAAGCGGGTGAACATGTTTGTTGCTCAGATAGTACCTGATATATAGCCTTGTCTGATTTATTGCATATCAACTCCTGATTTCCATTGTGGCACTCATTAACTGGGAAAATAAAAGTATGATTCTTTAATGTTAAAGATTTTGCTCAGGAAGTTGAGTGATTTTCCCGAAGATCAAAGAGTTAGTCAATGGAAGGTCTGAGCCTAGAAGATAATCTTTTTAAACTCTAATTTAGTGCTCTTCTGCTAAGATCTTTGCTTTTCTCTTCATTCACTCAGAACACTAATGATGTATTTGAGTATTTGGGGCTGAAAATCGGTATATTCTATTTATCAGATTGTTTGCACCTTTTAAATAATTTATTTGAAAGTGGTTGGGTGTGGTTCTGAGAGTTGCTAATGAGGTTGTAGGATGCCTTGCAGTTGATTTCCATGTAATGGTCACATTGGCAGTGAAGACATCTTTCCAGTATGTGCCAGACACTTTACGGCTGTTGTAGTGCAGGAATGGGGCCCAAATATAAGCAAGACATGGATGATCTTGTCTTTGAGAATACACAGACCTGGTGACAGACATGGAAATCAACCATTTCTCTTTCATATAGGTGGTGCACTGCTGGGCGGGGGGGGGGGGGCGGGGGGTTTCTAGTGCTGAGTGCTATTTGCTGGGCAGAGGAGGGAGCACAACCGATTTTTTGGAAAAGGATACATTCAGAGGGTGACAAAGATTTCATGTCCCACTAGGATGAACTGAAGTTAAGACGTGTTCTTTTTATGACCCTCATCCATGTAGGTGTGAGATGAGGTGGGTGGTGTGGAGCAGGAATAGGGCTGTGGCTATAGAGAGACTGTGTTTTCACGAGAGGTACTTCTATTTAGGGGAACTCAGTGTGACTCCCTTTATATCTGACTCAGTGTAATTATTATCGATATTGTTATAGAGGGTTCAAGATGCAAACTGAAAAGTTTCAGTTCATTCTGATTCATCATTTGCCATTCTTATAAAGAACCCAAATCTTCCCTGAAGCTACAAATCATTTTCCATCTGACTCTTGAGGTATAAAAAAAATAGGATCTTCTATGGTAATGCTTCCTATTTTTCAAAGCACTGTTTTCTACCTTGTCATATTTGATCCTTGTGTTATAGACGAGGAAGCCGAGGCTCAGTAAGATCAAGTGGGACCTAAGGCAGGAACCTCCTTGAGCAATTGGATCCAGATTCTCCAGGTGGAGGATTTTGTTGATTAGAATACAGGTAAGGAATCTCTTCAATTGGTTTTTACAAGTTAAAATGGCCACCATTATGTGCCAGATGGCCTATCTTGTTGTTAGTGCAACAACAGACCTCTCCCCTTTACAGATTTGGAGGTGGAATTTCTACAGTGCCAGGTGGCTAGGTGTTCAGGGATTATGGCTGAGACTAGGCACAGTAGTAGATAGGAACCCAAAACTGGATGAATTGTAACTTGTTGGCATTAGGGTTCTTCTGTTAAGCTGAGAAAACGTGGGGGCATTATGTAGAGAACAGTGAGTCCTTTTGTAGGAACTGGTGAGTGCAGTGAAATCAATACCACAGAGATAATATAAACAGAGAAATACTTTTGCCCAGTGTGGTCCAGTTCTTATTCTACTCACACTGCTTTGCTTTTAAAATAACAACAAAAAACCTCACCATGGACCTTTCATGTAGCTTCATGTCCTAAATTTGGTTAATTCCTTAAGTGAGTTTAAACTTTCCCCATATTTATGTATCTCCTCTCCCACATGCACTGAATATTCTTCCTATATTTCAAAGTAGTAGTTCTGATTTAGTTGGAAGAGGGTGAAAATTTCAGGCTGTATATCTTGTAATTTTTTGTTTGTGTTAAATGTGCCAGTTGTGGTATGTTTGGGGTTGTCATCTCCAGGGCAATCCTGCAATCATTTGCTTTTTATTTTTTTTCCGGAACATCAACTTTTATCTAATCTTTCATTATAGCCAATCTAAAGCAGCCCCCAAGTGTCTTTCCAAACATCACCCTGTTTTGCTTCATCGCAGCCCTTATCAACAGCTGGTGTTTCTCATTTGCACATTCATCTGCTTCTTTTTTGCCCATCCTGCCCTACATGTAAACTGCATGAGCTGGGACCATGTCTTTCTTGAGCAATGCTGCGCCCCAGTGCCTCAGAGGCTTGCCCACACAGGTACTCACTGTTTGTTTGTTAAATTAATAAACTTCTCTGGACATAATTTTCTGATTTTTATCTTTAGATTGAAAAGTTGAGAGCAGCATGTTTTGCCCACTGCAGCTGGTCCTGATCCCAACGTTACTGGGTAAGTAGAAGCCAAGGAACCATGGGAGGTATTTGATTTCTCATAACTCTTGTGCATTTTTAAAAACCTTTTTGTTTTGTTTTTGGTAGTTTTTAATTCCCTTTGATTTTTGGAAAATGAAAACCCTAGCCTGGAACTTCATGGTTTAAGTGAAACAGCTGTTTTGGAAGCAGGTAGTGGGCTCTTTCTTGGGAAGCTGAAACTTCCTGTTTCTATTAGTCACAGAATGTCTTGGGTTTATCCTGGATGTTCTAGGACCTTCTTGTGTGTACAAAAAAAGTTTCTCTATGGCCTTCCTCCACTTTAAATTGTCTTCAAAACCACAGCTAGTCTCAGATCCAGAATTGAAACGACCAGACACGCCAGAATCCTTTTCATTGTTTTCACTCGTAGCCATGCCAGCGCCAGCCTTCTTGCAGTTCCTCAAATGCCTGAGCTCTTTCCCAATATGGTGGTTTCCTTTGCCTGGAAGCTTCCTTCCTCTCTTTGGCACCTCACACTAGTGAGCCTGCTCCCTTTCCCATTAAGATCCATTTTCTTCTGTGAAGCCTGCTAATGGTCTCAGGCCGTGTCTATACCTTAGGCAGGTGCTCAGGGCTGCTTCCTGTTGTTCATCTCCACTGCTAATTTTTTAAAATTCCCTTTTACCCCATGCCTTTCTTCTTATTCCATGGCTATAACTCTGTAGGAAGAAATACATGAATTTGGTGCTTTGCTCTCATTGCTTTTTTGTTCTTCTATTATTACTTTTTGAATTGTGGCCAGTGAACTAAACACTGACTTAGCAAAGAACACAAATAGGTTGCCTTTGCTCCAGTTCTAGGCAACACAGAGTGTGCACAAATAGGTATGTGCCCATGTGTACACACACCCCCACACACAAATGATATGTGTTAGAGAATTTTTTTCACAGAAACAGTGTTATAAGTATCTCAGAGCGTTCTTAGATATTTCCACAGAGATGTATGAAACAACCTGCAGACTTTTGCTCTTCTTCCCAGTAAATTTCCAAGCCAACCCCTGCATGTAGTGGTTTGAAGGCATCATGGGGTTTGTACTTTTGTGTGGAGAGATTTCCCTCCCTAAGAATATCTCCTTCTCTTCAGCTACTCCTCTACTAAGATCACCCCTCAGACCTCCAGACAGTAGTTTCCCTTTGCTTTGGTTGCTGCAGTTGCTTTCTAGTTGTCCTTCACTTAATTCTACATAATATTGAATTAAACTAAATTCACTTCTTGTACCTTTAACCACAAGTACAATTGCTCAACTGTTCCTCACAGGAAAATTCCAAATGGTTGTTGGAGCTAATTTTGATTTCTTTCAAAATAACTCTTTCCAAAGGGTTTAGAGTTCATGTTTTCTTTTCTGTCCTCCCTACTGTGTGAGCCTGCTGTTGGGCAGGAAGTTAGCTGTCTTCTCTCAGGGAAACAGCTTGGATGAAAAGACTGGCACATTTTCTGTTCATTCCCATATGCGTTCTCTTGGCTCTTCTTTGATATAAACTGGGCAGCATCTAAATTTGTCTCTCTTGATTTTGTTGTCTCTATGCATGGAGCATGTCCTATGAAAACAGAAATATCCATAAAATGGTTTTCTCTTTTAGTGACCTCTTGGAATTCCTTAAGTAACATCAGATGATTGTATGTGTGGGTGGGTGGGTGTAAGTCCACGTGTGCAAATGCCTCAAAGAGGAAAAGCTAGGGATGATGGCAAAGCTGGAGGGGGTGAGGTGGGGAAAAGGCAAACACAAAGGAATTCAAGGGGAAAGCTGTGCTCCACATTGACTTACTTACAAGGGCCTGCTCACCAGTCAGAATTAGCCGACAAATGCAGAGGTAAACTTTTGTGAAGGAGCTAAAGAAAGGGAAAAGAGGAAGAAAACAAACAAAATACTGTGAGTTGGCCATTCAGATAGGGAACTAGTAGGAAATTTAAGAACAAGAATATCCATTTCCTGTTTATGGTAAGTGAATTGGGTGACTAGTGATCCAAAAGGAGGGACTTTAGGGTTTCCTTTGTTTCTTTAAAAAAGTTGGGAGATAGAATTCTAGAAAAGGGCAAGAGCCTAGTTAGGGGAAAGGAGCCAGATAACATTTAATGCAGTACTAAGTTTGCGGAACCCTTCTGACTTAAGCCATGCAGATAACTAGAGGATACCTCAATTACCTTTAGAGATTCCATGCTGGTTCAAGTGAGAGGCCTCTGAGCACTTGGTCCCTGTTGAGTCATCGAGGGAAGGGAGGTGGATAGTACTTGGTGACTGATGCTGATTTTTGTTACTAAAGGTATTTGTCTAAATGATTCATCCTCTTGCCTTTGATTCTATAGCTTGTTCCTTGGGCCTGAATGACTTTAGTACTTCCCCCGCTGAACTCACAGTCCATGTGGGTGATTCAGCTCTGATGGGATGTGTTTTCCGGAACCTAGAAGGGAAACACGTGACCAAAGTAGACTGGATGCTGTCACCTGGAAAGCATGCTGAGGTAATGAAGAGCGCGCCTCACTATGTCCTAGAAGCCCCACATTTGTGGTTGTCAGGGTGGTACTGCAGGAGGGAGAATCACTCATCAAGTACCATGAGATGGTGTTGTTGCAAGAGCTTGGGCTTTGGAGGTGTCCTAACTGGGACTCCTCCTAGCTTGGCTACTTGGCTGTGCAATCAGTGAGGCAGATTACCCAGCCCTGCTAAGCTTCAACTTCCTGATCTGTGTTCAGGAAGGTAGTTATGATAATGGCAATGCTTAACTTTCATGTAGTTGAGGGGCTAATTGGAGACATGCATGTGAAGTTCTTTCAGTTTCCTTTTTCTGTGCCTTTGTAGAGCGGTAAAGGTGGGTGACATGGATAATTCCTGTGGCTTAGACAAAAGACCTCTGAGCTAGGCATGAGTGTCACATTTATCTTTGGGTATTGTCTGCTGCAGTCCGGCTGGCTGGGCAAAATAACGGGGGGGCGGGGGGGGGTGTGACGAGTAACTTGTGTACGTTGATACAGCAGGAGTGGGAGCCGTTTATTGTAGGACAGCAGCGGTATTTATACATTCCACACAGCTTATCTTAATTAGCATAAACTAGATACATCAGTCAACCAATAAGAAATCTCCACACTTAATGGCTTGCTGGTGTTACTTCACAAACCACTCCCTCTGGCATTTTGCCAGGTGCCATCCTGACTTGTTTACAGACTCTAACATTTCCCCCTTTTGTTTAATTTAAATAACGACCACAGTGGTTTTCACAGAAACACCATAAATAATCTACTACAAGCAGAAGGGGAGGATACAAAATGCTACAATACAAGCCAATTGGTGGCTCCATGCAAGAAGCCCTTGGAAAAATTTTACCAGCAACGACACCATTTGCAAAGATACCGAGTTACAATTTGTTGTAGATTACAGTTTGTTGTCTCAGTCCAGGTAAAGTAGTGTCTCAAATAGATTAACTCACAGTCCAGGTAAATCACAGTCCAGGTAAGTTCTGCAGGCAGCTAGCTTAAATCACAGTCCAGGTAAGTTCTGCAGGCAGCTAGCTTGATCCAAAGTCTCGTCCGGTTCTCAGCCGAAGTCTCCGTCCGGTTTTCAGCAACACTGGAAATTCTTCCACCTTCGTCTTCACCGGCACTGGGACAAAGGCAGGAACTCCAGATGGCTAAAGAAAATCCTGTAGCGTTCCACTAAGAAAACAACCTTCTGAACAATTTAGTACATTATCTCAAGGTTTTTTACATTTGAAATAAGCCTTAATAGTGCTCATTACTCATTAGCCTCCAGGTGTGGGAGAACCATTGTAGCTTAGTTATTGGCATTGAAAATGAGCAAACATCAGGGATGCTGGTAGCGTCTTCTGCTGGCTGTAGTGCCTGGGCAGCCCCAGATGGCCCTGGGGAGTGTCCCGGACTCAAACTGCTACTGGGCACAGGGAGCAAGAGCCTGCGAGACTGTGCCTCCAGGTCAGGTCTAGATTTGGGCTCCAGGCAGTGGAAGAGCCAGCTCCCCGGCCAGGAGGCAGGGAAGGGCCAGTCGTCGCCTCCTCTTGGAAAATCCTTGCTGCGCTGTGACCGGCTTGCACACTCGGCAGCCGCCTCTCCGCTTCACGCACCCTCTGGTAACGAATAGTATTTAGTAATAGCCTTTTGCTGCAACTTTTTTCCTGATAATCCTTCTTCTGAACTTTCTTTTTCTTTCTGACTAGATTTCCTGGGCTTCCATCAACACATGCCCTAACTATTTTTGGTTCCATTGGGGTGTCTCTTTCCCTTATCAATTTACTTAACACCCCTTCCATATTTTCATCACAAAGACAATACAATACACTGAGACAAAACAAGACACAAACATACTGTATCAATCTTCTCCATTTTCTTGAAATGGCCATTTTTCCTCTCGCCCTATCTGCCTAGGGACGAGCAGATTTGCTCCCGTCCTATCTATGGACGGGCAGCTTTTTTTCGTCACTTACCCCCGAGTGTCCTGGGGCTCCCTGTACGGGCCACCATCTGCCGCAGCCCGGCTGGCTGGGCAAAATAACCGGGGGGTGACGAAGAACTTGTGTAGATTGATACAGCAGGAGTAGGAGCCGTTTATTGCAGGACAGGAGCAGTATTTATACATTCCACACAGCTTATCTAATTAGCATAAACTAGATACATCAGTCAACCAATAAGGAATCTCCACACTTAATGGCTCGCTTTTGTTACTTCTCAAACCACTCCCTCTGGCATTTTGCCAGGTACCATCCAGACTTGTTTACGAACTCTAACATTCCCCTGGCAAAATGCCAGGTGTTATTTTGACTTGTTTACAGACTTCAACAGGGTATGTGTGTGGGTGGGGGGTGGGGGCAGACTCTTTCAGCATTCTACTGCCGCCTGAAGTACTAGGATTAGCAACTGCACCTGGCTGGGTGAGGGTCTCTCATGGAGCTCTTTGTATTAGGAAACAGTATTAAGCTTCATCAGAGATTCTGTGGAGCTACTTGGATGTCAGGATCATTTGTGAAATACGTCCCAGGTAGTTTGCTATTAGTAATAAAGTCCCAATGTTTGAAAATGAAATAGTTTTTGCAACTCAGAGCACATTCTTTTTTACCCCTGCAATGCTACTCTCACTCAAATTTTTATTACTATTTATTATCATGAGAAGGCTATAGCTATGGTGTAAATAGAAATAAGGATCTTCCAGGCTTCCCCCTCTTAGCTTGTAACCATTTCTTACTAATAACTCCTCCTTTTGTGTTAGAGGAGGGCAGAAATGAGAGGAAAGGCAGCCAGCATTCTGGGAACCCCAGCCCACAACACCAGAGGGATTACATCATACAGTTGAATGCTATGTAATCTGGGGGCCTTCAGAAAACAGGGTGAAATGAGAAGTGTTTTTCAAAAGTTGTGAGTTTGAGCGGCTTGGGACGCTGAGGCACAAGGATTGCAAGTTCAAAGCCAGCCTCAGCAACAGTAAAGCCCTAAGCAACTCATTGAGACCCTGTCTCTAGATAAAATACAAAATAGGACCGGGGATGTGGCTCAGTGGTTGAGTGCCCCTTAGTTTAATCCCTGGTAGCACCCTTCACTGCCAAAAAGAGTTGTGAGTTTGAATCTACAGAGTGATCTTCAGATGGGGTGTAGCATTGATTCCTTTAGCTGTAAGAAATAAAAATGTGTGCACTGTATTTCTCCCTTTGTCTTTGTGGAAAATGAGCCACAGAGCTTGTGTAAGCTAGGATGTTGCCTGGCATATTATTACCATCGATTAGCTACAAAGAACACTTTATTCATGTATGATGATGATAACTATGCCACCTCCACATAACAGGGTCTTTTGACTACAGACTCCTAGGTCTGGTTCCTCTTTGGATTTTCTCTAACACTGTCTGTGTTGCCCTCCAGGATGAATATGTGCTATACTATTATGGCAACCTCAGTGTGCCTGTGGGGCGCTTCCGGAACCGTGTGTTTTTGGCGGGAGACCTCCTACAAAAAGATGGTTCTCTGCTGCTCCAAGATGTGCAAGAGGCTGACCAGGGAACCTACACCTGTGAAATCCGCCTTGAAAGCGAGAGCAAGGTGTTAAAAAGCAAAGTCGTGCTGCATGTGCTACCAGAGGAGCCCAAAGGTATGGGGATGCTTAGATGGGGCTGAGGGCAAGGGGCAAGGGTACTGATTTCATGGAGCAAATGCCAGCCTTTGGCTAAGTAGTTACCACCAAGTGAGTCTTGAATAAATGATAATTATTTTATTCAATAAAAATCATGATAATTATACTTTAAACATATTCTTCCTCACAAAAGTCCCGTGAAATGTATATTATTTTTTCCATTTTTCATGTGGTAACTGAGGCATAGAGAGGTTAAGTGACTTGCCTAAGGACACATTTATTAAATGACATAAGCTGTACTTAAGCCCTGATGCCTCTGACAACAAAGTCCATGTTCCTTTCACTTTTCCTTGACACTTCCTATCTATCAGTTAGCCACTTTGATGCCAATCCATATTTTATAGCTACCTATGTTAGGTGTCCTGAAGGTTATAAAAGAAGTGAACAGATTTCTCTAAATTTTTTACATCTCATTTTCCCATTCATAGATGGAGGAAGTGGCTTCAGGAGATCAGTGTTTTGGTGTTTTTTTAAACTGTTCCTTTGTAGATGCCTTAAGCTCCAAGGAACTGATAGCACAGAGGGTGCTATATGAGGGGCATTGGTTGGTAGAAAACCTACTCAGGTAGGACCCCAGCTTCCACCTCCATTGCAACCAAAGTCCTTTTCCTTTTCCTGTTTTGTTTATTGAGCTGCCAGGTCAGATTTTGTTTAAAGAAAGAATTCTGCATCTTTAAAGTAAGATTGTGATCTGTGGTGGGCCAAGTCATGGAAAGACAGGCATTCAGAAAGTTCCTTCTTCTCTCTGACTAGGTATTAGCTGGAAGGAATGCAGTTGAGACTGCAATCAAAGAAGGCATTATGCTTCCAGAACAGTCTCAAGGACAAGTATTTTAAGCAGCAGCAGTAGCTGCTGGATTGGTCTCTAAAGCAGAGGTAGAGAGGGTCAACCAGTAGGGTGGAAGCTGAAGCTTCATTTCTTCTCCAGAAGAGCATGAAGGCACCAAAGTAGTGGTAAATGACAAGGATTCCTTCTTATTTAGTGAGAGCAACATTATTGGGAAAAAGGTAGACTAGAATACAGCACTACTGAATAGCATCATGCATGGTTACCCATTCCACTAACATTCTGAAATCTTTCATCATGTAAATATTTTTTAATCTTTTATAATAAACTAATGATATCCAAACTAATAAGATTCAATGTCTCTAAAATTTAATTTATTGTATTGATCTCTAAACAAAAATATGTAAATTAAAAATGTTTGAAAGTCGTAGGACAAGATGCATTCATTATCAAGTGTGGTGTAGAAGGAATAGTCTGTGGCCTCGGGGAAGCTTGCTATCTAGGTAAGGAGGGAGATCTGGGTTTCCCTCTGCTGCTGGCTTAGGTCCGTAGCTACTCAGCTCCACCAATGAGCTCCTCTGGAACACCCTGCCTTCCTTCCTCTTTTAGAACACCCACAACACCTGTTCATTTGTATCTTCCCTGCTTCTCTGTTTCTATTCATCTGTGACCAGCTCTGGGCATAGCACCTGGTACAGAGAAAGCAATCAATAAACATCTGTGTAAAGATGAAATTCTTTAAACATCCCTCTGAGTCTGATTTCTAAAAAGAGTTATAGAAGGTAGTCTCTGGCACCTCCTTCATGTTTCCTACTTTTTCTCATTGAAATTTTTCTCTTAATTCCAAAGCTATGGTTCTTCAAGAAAAGGAGGAAGGTCAGATGCTAGTATTCCTCAGTCTTTCTCTTAAAAAAAAATTTTTTTTTTTTTTGTGGTACTGGTGATTGAAACCAGAGCCTTGCCCTTGCTAGGCAAGTGCTCTACCACTGACCCTCATCCCCAGCATTTTTAAAATTAAAAAAAAATTTTTTTTAGTTGTAGATAGATACAATATTTTTATTTTTATTTATTTATTTTTATGTGATGCTGAGGATTGAACTCAGGGCCTCACAGGTGACAGGCAAACTCTCTACCACTGAGCTACAACCCCAGCCCCACTTTTTAAATTTTGAGACAGGGTCTCGTTAAGTTGCCCAGGTTGATGGCAAACTCATAATCCTCCTGACTCAGCCTCTAAGTCTATGGGATTACAGCCTCTAAGTCTATGGGATTACACCCTATCAGGCCCCAAGGATATCTTTATGCTTCCTTTTTCTGTCTTCATTCTTTAGTGCTATTATTTAATGCCTAAACACTTGTCTAAAGCATAGCCTTCAAAATGGGTGCCTCTTCCTGCTTAGAGATACATTGGGAGCTTAAAAAGGAGCCAATCTCAAGAGTTGAAGAAGCCATGAAAACATGCTAGAACCACATTAGTCAGATATTTCCCCAGTAGTTGGTAAAGCAGCTTGAATTTATCTTTCCCTTCCAGTTAGAATGGAACCATATACAACCCCTCACAATTTTTCCCTGTGTCCCAGTAGGAACTTGCTTTATGGAGGTTGTCTTTTTCCATGTGGAAACTCCTTTTTATAGTCATCTATAATTTTCTCTGGAAAAGTAATCATTCAGTTTATAATTTTTATTAATGATTCTATTACTTTTTCAGTTATTTTAAATACTGATAGGTTAAAAGTAATAAAAAATTAATAATATTAACTTCCTGTAATTTTCTAGAATCAGCCACCCTTCTACTTGTGTGAGATGGTACAGTCTGTAAGTGAAAGAACATAGAGTTTGTTTTCACTTATTGGGCCTGGATTTGAGTGCTGGTTCTATCCTTTACTGGCCGTGTGGCTTTGGGCTCTTTCACTTTGCTCTTCTGCAAAATGGGAAGTGATATAGACGTACCCCAAAATACTGTATGACTAACTGATAGACTAGGTATAAAGTGTCTAGCATGTGCCTGGTGCATTAAAAAGACTTAGAATGTTCAGTTAATATTATTTAAAAAAAGAGTTCAGCTCTTAATGTGCTGATGAAATCAGAGGGAGGCACCTTCCCTACTGGTATTTTTGGGAATCAATTTTCATTGCTTTCAAAATAATTCCCTCTATTGAATTTAGAATTCATAATATTTTCTTTTGCTTTCCTCCCATTGTGCACATCTCCTGCTGGGCAGGATGATCATGTTCTCCCAAGGAAAGGGTTTAGATGAAAAGTGGGCTATGCACTCATGGGCTTTTCTCAATGGAACTCTCTCTAGATAAGACCTAAGCTTGTGTCTCCCTATATGCCCTTAATCAATTCTTTTTTTAAAAAAAAATTTTAATTTGTTTTAATTAGTTATTCATGACAGTAAAATGCATTTATGCGCTTTGATATATCATACATAGATGGGATATAATTTCTCATTTTTCTGAGTGTACAAGTTGTAGAATTATATTGGTCATGAAATCACATATATACTTAAAGTAATAATGTCTTTCATTGTCTATCTTTTCTATCCCCAGATCCTCTCCCCTCCCCTCCCTTCTCTTTCCTCTACCTAATCTGAAGTAATGCTAATCTTCTCTAGTGACCCCCACCTTATTGTGAATTAGCATCCACATATTAGAGAAAACATTGAGCCTTTGGTTTTGGAGGATTGGCTTATTTAACTTAGTATGGTATTCTCCAACTCCATCCATTTACTGACAAATGCCATAAATTTCTCTCTTCTTTAAAGCTGAGTAATATTCCATTGAGTATATATACCACATTTTCTTTATCCAATCATCCTTTAATCAATTTGTAATCAACTTTGTGATTGATTTGTGTAGGGCATTTGGAAAAATCAAAAACATGTGTCAATTGTTTTCTGTTCAGGGACCTCTTGAAATGACTCACAATGAACATATGGTGGGGTCAGCTGCTCATAAAAATAGGCAGCAGAAAGAGCCCAGGAGTAGGAAAGTGAGAAGCAGTAGAGAGGGGTCAAGTGGAGAAGGTAGGGGTAGGGGAGGGCAGGGTTGGAATAGAATGAAGAGTCAAGGGAAAACTGTCTACTGTCTTGTCCTACTTTGCAAAAGTTCGGTGATCTATACTGAAACCAGAACTGGTCCTAAGCAAGTCCTAAGACAATTTGTAAAAGAATAAAAGAATTTGAATAAAGTTACCCTTGATTCATTTTTTTAAGCTCAGAGAACCAGTGGGTTAAACATAAGAATTAAGGTTTTATAACTTTCCACTTCCTGTTTATGCTAAAGAGATGTGGGTATCTTAAGTTGATGAACAGAAAGTGGGACTTCAAGATTTTCTGTACATCCTTTAGTACAGACTTGATGTGAAGTTAGAATTCATGGGAGGAATTCTGAAAAGAAGGAAAGAGAAAGGAATTAAAGGGCACCAGAAAGAATTTATTGCAGTATGAAGACAGCAGAAACCTCAGACCTGCCATTTATAGGCAGTTAGAGGGTATTTCTTACTCTTGGGGATGCCATGTTGGTTTGAGTGAAGGGCCTCTGTTACTTTGACCTCATGGAATCATCTGGATTATCTATGGAGGGAATATGTACAGTGTTTGGCGGTGACAGTGATTTTTGCTGTTGAGAGTCTTTGGCTAACATTCTCTAGAAATTCTTTTACTTCTACAGATTATATTTTGAGCCTAACTTGATTTACTGTTTTATCCCCAGAGGTCACGGTCCATGTGGGTGATTCAGCTCTGATGAGATGTATTTTCCACAGCACAGAAAAGAAACGCCTGACCCAGGTAGACTGGATGTTCTCTTCCGGAGAGCATACCAAGGTAGGAGGAGGAAGCATCACCATGTAGTAGAAGCCTGTGGCTGGTGGCAGGACAGAGCTGGGAGAGGGACAGTCAGTTGTCAGATGCATGAGGTGGGTGGCATTACAAGAGCTTGGGCTTTAGAGCTTGTTGAACAGCTCCTAATTCAGCTGCTTGGCTGGGCAGCTTTGGCTTCCGAGTGGGAAACGTGACACTAATGGAGAAGAAGATAATGAGGATGATGTTTAACTTTTAAGGTTGTCAAGACACTGGCGTGAGTACATAGATGTAAAGCATTCTGCACATGACTTAGCCAAGGCATCTTGGTTTCCTTCTTCTCTTTGTAGAGTTCATGAGAGAATGAAAGGGATGATTTCTCTTGCCTAGCCAGGAAAGCTATGGAATAAATATAAGAATTTGATTACTTTCTTATTCTTATTGGGATTGTTTTGTGAGTTTTGGTTTGTGCTCCATTGTTCCCTTTATGTGATAGAGGGAATTTTCCTTTTATTTTTTTCAAGTGTTGGGATTTGGTGGATCCTGGGGGCTGGGTGAGGGTCATTTCATGGGAACTCTGTAAAGCCATAAACAGCAAGTTAGTTCACTAGACTTGTAGATCTTCACCATGATATGTGGTGATATATTTATGGATGACGCTGTGTGTGAGGGGCATTCTGGGTAACTTATTATTAATAAAAGTGAAGGTACAAGGTTTATAAAGGCTTTCACTTTTATAAATTAAAACATATGGTAGTCATCCCTCTAGCAAGGTAATTTGCACTCCCTTGATTCCTATATGCTGATTGAGTGGGTCAGAAAGGATGGCATTATGGAGTAGGGGGAATTACATGTCATGCATTTTTTTCTTTTTTTGTACCAGGGATTGAACCCCCAGGGGTGTTTAACCACTGAGCCACATCCCTAGCCCTTGTTAATATTTTATTTAAAGATAGGGCCTCTTGCTGAGTTGCTAAGCCTGGCTTTGAACTTGAGATCCTCCTTTCTCTGCCTCCTGAGCTGCGGGGATTACAAGTGTGTGTCATTGCACTGGGCTGGCTTTATTATGCATTTAAATGTTGTCCATCAAATGATTCACCGCAGAAGGAGATGGGAGGTTTAAGGGCCAGATCTCTCCATATGTGTTTGTGTCTGTATGCCCAATACCTTTTCTTAAAAGCTTAAAGAAATTTACATACCTTTATAAAAAAAAATTCTAACACTCCTTCACTTAAATATTTTTTAAGCATTTACTGTGTGATAAACACTCAAAGCCCCTGTCCTGATGCAGGACTTGCAATCAAGATAATGGGGAGATAATAAAATGGCAAAGAAAAATATATAATACATTGAGTAATAGTTAGAGCTATAGAGAACCATTAAGCCGAGTTTTGTGGTTATTTTATGTGGGTGACACTTGAGCAGTAGTCTGAAGGCAGTGGGGGTGGGTGAACCACGAGTATGTCTGGAGGAAGCGTCTCAGTCATAGGGAGTGGCAGTGAAAGGCTCTAAGACCAGGACTCAAGGAGCAGCAAGGAGCTGATGGAGGAAGAGAAAGTAGAAGATGAAACCCAAGAGGAAAATGGGACTGTCAGTTTGTGAAGGGCCTTTTACTTTAAGTAGAAATGAAAGGCCGTGGGAAGGTTTTGAGCAGAGAAGTGAAAGACGTTAACTTAGGTTTTTAAAGGCTCATCTGCTGAGAATAGATTGTAGTGAAGAATACGCAGAGAGGCCAGTAAGAAAGTCCTGTGGGAACCTGCATAAGAGATGCAAAGGAGGCTTGGACAGCAGGAGGTGAAAAGTGGCTGGGGTCAGAATGTATCCTGAAGGTAGAGGAGATCAGAGTTGCTGAGAAGTTAGATGCAAATTCTCCAGGAAAGAGAAGAAATTAAGGATGACCTTGAGATTTTTAGCCTGAGCCTCTGGAAGAAGCCATGGCCATGGCTGTTTACCAGTGTGATGGACTGAAGGAACTGGCTTAGGGGAACAATTAGGAGTTCAGTTTTAAATGTGTTTCAGGTACCTATTGGAAATCCAACTGGAAATGCCAAAAAAGTGAACATGTGGCTGGGTGTGTTGGTGCAGGCCTGTGATCCCAGCAGGGTTCAGGAGGCTGAGGCAACAGGATTTCAAGTTCTAAAGCCAGCCTCAGCAACTTAGCAAGGCTCTAAGCAACTTAGCAAGACTCTAAGCAACTTAGCAAGACCCTGTCTCAAAATGAAATATAAAATGGCTTGGGGATGTGGCTCAAGGATTAAGTTCCCCTGGATTTAATCCCTGGTACTAAGAAAAAAAAAAGGAACATGTGCTCTTACTTTTTTTTTTTTTAACTGGAGAAGTGCAAAAAACAGAAGCCCTCTATTCCTACTTTAAAAAAAAAATCCTTCTCTTCTGAGGAAACAGCATGCATGATTTCATGATGCTCTTCATAAGCACATAGATATGTGTGTGCACTTGAATTGCTGTTATCTAGCACATATACACACATGTGTGCACACAGCTTTGTTGCATAACACTAACATGCACCTGTGTGTGCCCAACCTTGAGTTACCTAACACTTTCTGAGGCCTGAGATCGTCCTCCCTCCCTGCTTCCCCACATCCCCTTGCTGCCAGTCCTCCAAAGCTCATGCTTTTGCCTTTCCCTTCCAGGAAATCGTCTTACACTATGACCTCAAATTCCAGTTTCCTGAGAGATACTTCCCTTACCAGGGTCGCTACCAGAACCGTGTAAACCTGGTGGGAGACATTTCCCACAACGATGGTTCCATCATGCTCCAAAGAGTGAAAGAGTCTGATGGAGGAATCTACAACTGCAGTATCCACCTGGGGAACCTGCTGTTCAGGAAAACTCTTGTGCTCCATGTGACTACGGAAAAGTCTCAAAGTATCTAACATTTGATTGGAGAGGGCTGAGGGACCTTAGCTGGTAGCAGGGCCAGGACTAGAGCGAGTAGAATGGTTCCTAGGCTGAAAAAGGGAAGGGGCTTGCTCCTAGGTACTCATAGTGGGCCGGCCCCGCCCTGAGAGTGCTGCCTCCTTCACCATGACTCCTTAAGGGCCTGGCTTCCCTTGCCCTGGTTTTGGCACTGCTGCGGGGCTGAGGAAAAGGGAGCTAATGTATAGACCACCAACCCTATGCCAGTGTAGACTACTACTACAAAGATTCAAGAGCTCAGAGACAGCTTGGAATTGAGGTCCAAACCCATTTTTATTTGGCTTAAAGGGAGTCACTGCGTGCTCTGTTATGGAAGGGAAAATGATCCTGAGCTGGTGAGAGATAGCAAGGATCAAAGAGAAAACAGGAAGGTACCAAGCCCAAAATGGAGGGGTTTTCTGGCATACAATGTGCATCCAGGCCAGTGGTGTGTAGGAAAAGAAAGAGTCAATTGTGTTGACTGAGAGAGGTTGATAGTGAGGGGTTAACGTTAAACCATAACTTGTTTAGCAGTCAGGATGTGGCCTGTGGACTTTGCTGGGGCCTTCAGGAGCTGACTGCGGTTGACTGGGGGTGGAGAGGTGGGCGTAGGATGGTACATTCCAGAACCTCAGGCTGGGGGCTTAAGTCTGTGGATTCTTATTAATAGCAAAGGTCCCAGTTGGAGAGGGAAATAAGACAGATGCATCTCTTAAAGAACTACCATCTCTATATGTGCTTCACTCTCAGAATTCTTACCACCTCTTCACAGAGAAAATCAAGCCATGGTGGGGGCTCATTCACTTCCAAGTCTTTCTACACATGAGTATCTGTTCCTGATCTTATCTCTACCCACTGTCCTGAGGGAGAAGAAGCTCCCTTCTGCCCTGGGCTTATCCTGTTCTGTGCTTCTGTTATCCTCTCCCTCCCAGGAACCTCACACCAGGGATCTTTGGGCTCTTGCTGTCTGTTGGTTTCAGCAGATAAATATGCTTAATTCTTCATCTTACCTGAGTCCTTACCTATTCTAGCTCTCATCCTGTATCTTTATTTTTCTTAAAGCAGCTTTATTGATATATATTTCATATACTGTACAATTCACCCAAAGTATAAAACCCAGTGGTTTCTAATACATTCTGATTTGTGCAACCATCACAATAATCAATGACAGTTCTCTCTTAACATAGCCAACTAGCTTATAAGGGGCTGCACTGGGCATCTTCCTGGCTCATCTCCCATTCACTCCTCGCTGCACCACATTCTGGCTTCAGCTATCTTTACTCTAGCCTTCCTCAGCCTTCTTTCCCATGTAGTGTTGGATGCTCTATTCTGTATACATTCTATGTTGGATGTAATTAATCCACTTATATATGTGTCCCTTGGTGTTGTGGGAAGTTGGTTCCAGGACTCCCCACAGATAACCAAAATCTGTGGATGCCCAGTTCCTTTTATAAAATATTGTAGTATTTGCATATAACCTATGTACCTACTCCTGTGTACTTCAATTCATCTTCAGCTTACTTATGACACCTAATTCTATGTAAATAGTTGTTATATTGTATTATTTAGGGAATAATGACTAAAAAAGTCTGTACATGTCAGTACACATGCAGTTTTCCCCCCAGTCATGTATAGTTGATTGAATCCATGGGTGAGGACCCCAGGGGTATGGAGGGTTGGTGTGTGTGTGTGTGTGTGTGTGTGTATTTCAACTCCACCAAAAATTTCCACAGATCCTTCAAATACTACATGTCCACACCTACCCTTGTGTACCTCTTCCAAGCCCATCTCCCCAACCTGTTAATTTCATCATTATCTACACATTTGTGTAAACATATGACCATTCTGAGTTTGGCTTATTTTGCCTTACATAATGCTCTCAAGTTTCATCCATTTCTGAAAATAGCATAATTTCATTCTTTATTATGACTGAATAAAACTCCATTGCCACTGCCATCTTTTTAGGTCACAAATCAGAAATTCTGTTCTATGGCTTATAATCTTGCAGTAGTTCCTCCGTTGATTACAGAAAAAAGAAGAAGAAGAGGAAGAAAAGAAGAAGAAGAAGAAGAGGAGGAGGAGGAAGAGGAAGAAGAAGAAGAAGGAGAAGGAGAAGGAGAAGGAGGAGGAGGAGGAGGAGGAGGAGGGGGAAGAAGAAGAAGACGGCAAACTCTTATTTGAGCTGATTGAGTCTTTCCTGACCTGGACCCTGTTTACCCTCCAGCCCCATGCTCCCACACCCCTCAAATCCAGTCTATGTACTACACTTGCTGAGCATTTCCCAGTTCCTAAATGCCCCCAGACCTTGTGCACAGCATCCCCTCTGCCATTCCCTATAGTGTCTTCCCAACCAGCTGGTAGATGTTTCCTTTCCTTTAAGACTCAGATGAAACTTTTAAACAGGGCTGGCAAATTCTCACCTTCTGCCCTGCATAGAGTTGGGCACTCTTTTCTCTGTGCCCCTCTGAACCCTATACAGATATCTGTCCTGGTACTTGTAGCAGTCTATGGTTTTCTTTTTCCATGATGGTCTGGCTTCTTGGAGGCAGGAACCATTTTTCATTTGTCTTTGTAGGCATCTTTTGTACCTAGTGATGTCTGGCACCAAGAAAGTGTGTGATGTATGTATTTAGAGTGGATAGAGATGAGTGAATGGTATCATACAGGCAGAAGTGCCTCTGGAGGCCCTATTTGGCATTATGATTATATAGCTGAATGTTCTAGCATTTTTTTAAAAAAATAATCACTTGCTCATAGAAAAGACAGGAGCCTCTAAAGCTTCTTATTTCTAGGTCATTTTGTAACCCAAAATTTAAAATAGAACTGTTGATGTGAAAAGGAAATTGAAAGTAGTGAAGTATAAGCCTCTTCTCCCACCCACCTTAATCTGCATATCAAGGGGCAAGCAAGTGGGTAGGACTTTACTTCTCAATCTAATGGGGACAGTGTCCCTGTGTCCTGATGTGAGGTGGAGTCTGGCCTTCTCCCTCTGCTTCCTGACCTAGCTGCTGCTACTTGGCACAGAACTGAAGGGGTTCTCAGCTCTTTTCTGGAGTACTGAGACCTCTCATTGCTTTTCCCCTTTCCCAAGCCCTGATTCCAGAAATCCCTAGACCTGAGCTCCTGGGCGGGAATCAGCTGGTGATCATTGTGGGGATTGTCTGTGCCACTCTCCTGCTGTTCCCTGTTTTGATATTGATTGTGAAGAGGACCCACTGGAATAAGAGGTACAGGGCTTTTCCTCTTGGGTTGGGAGGCTGGGGATGCAGGACTGCCTCTAACTCAACATGGAAATGACGTGATAGGACCCAACCTGTGCCATTCTCAAAGGAGTAGGTATTTTCACAGAATCAAATGATTATCACATTAGATTTCATCATAGATGGCTCTATTCCTTTGCTCACCTGAAAAGATTTGGACATCCTACATCATCCTCACTGGTGTTATACAGAGGTTACAAACTTCCTTACAAATGGAGGTCTAAGTGGAGCATAATTTCGAACATAAATCTTGGCTGGGGTTATGGCTCAGTGGTACAGCACTTGCCTACCATGCCGGGTTCCATCCTTAGCACTACAAAAAAAAAATGCACATAAATCTGTGCAAGAATTGTATCATTCACTACTTGAGAAGAAGGATTCTTATATTATCCCCACTATACACTTCATATTGAAGTTTAGATCTTGAGTGTTGCCAATGTTATTATTTAAAGAACTATATTCTAATTCTGAGAGGCTGTTTTTGAATGGATGACCCTAGGTTCTAAATAAATTATTGTCAAATGTGTTTTTAAAGGCCTGAAATTTTGTTTTTAAAGACCCTCAGAAATTCTCCCAGGGTCACAGAAATACCCACATGCTCTAATGTGGATGCTAGAGTTTCATTGACTGTAGCCAGGTTCGTGTCCCTCAGTTTACCCAATTGGAATATGTTGGTAGGGCAAGTTTATTCTCTTGTTGAAATCATATCAGTGAGAAAGGGCCCTGCAAAGACCAAGTAATGCTGACTTTTTTAAAAAGTTTAATACTGGAATCAAACCAAGAACCTGGCACATGCTAGGCAAGTGTGCTACCACCAGACCCATAATGCTGACTTTTGAGTGACCTTTCCCAGTAGAATTTGGATTCTACAGAAATTACATGTGCCTGCTAAGTTTGCAATCCCCAGGTCTCTCTGGTTTGGCTTGGAACTTGGTTGACCTCTCTGAAGGTCTTTCCTCTGGGCAGCTGGGAACATAGAACCAAGAGCTACACATGTGGTTTTCACTATCAGCTTAATTCACCCTCATCAGTTTCCCTCAAGATGAAGGGCAGCATTTCTCTGTCTGGTAGTTTATTTTAATGAAATATTAAAACTGATCTGCTGAGATTTGTGCATAAATATGAGTGCTACAGCTGGGTGCAGTGGCACATATGTGTAATTCCAGTGGCTCTGGAGGCTGAGGTAGGAGGATCACAAGTTCAAGGTGCCTCAGCAAATTAATGAGGCCCTAAGCAACATAGACTCTGTCTCAAAATAAAAAATGAAAAAGAAAAAGGCTGGGGATGTGCCTCAGAGGTTAAGCACCCCTGGATTTAATCCCCAGTACCAGAAAAAAAAAGTGTCTAGTTAACCAGTGTCTTTCCAAACTTAGGCTATAGTGGCATCTGTTTAAAGGACAGAAAACATCTAAGAGTTTAGGCCCAAGACAAATATTTATAGACTGACATTTTTAGTTTTCATTGTCTGGGCTGCAGATATTATTTCTTTTAACAATCCAGAAATTTCAAAAGGGCTGGGAATGTGGCTCAGTGGTTAAATGTACCCCCCCCCCCCAAAAAAAAAAGCACTGTAACATTGTTTATGGATCATCATTACTGTCTATCAGAAAGGCAAGGCAATGATTCAGTGAATGGTAACAGTGGTAGGTAGGGTCTTTAAGATAAAGGAAATACATAAATATAGACATTTCCAACTGTCTATGTTTATGCATTATTTGATTCATTTTACAATGAGAATATACAACTTTACAATCAGAAAATGGGATTGAAAATTTCCACTTTGAGACAGATATATATATAAAATAAACCATATATATATATGGTTTATTTTCTAGCTTATACCTGATTTTTCTTTTCTTTTAAAATCTCTGCCTCAGGCCAAAACAATAAAAGAAGTATATTTAGTGGCAGTTGCAGAAGGCAAATGGTCAAGAGATCTGAGATGAGTGGCCAGGGCTCACAGCCAGGGTGAACTGCTCTCAGGGAAAGGCTAAGAAGTCTTTGGAACTGGGATCTTGCCTAGTGTGTGCTGCCCCCTGCTGGTTCAGATACATATTCCTGGTCCTAAGAAATGCCCAAAGGATGATTAAAGTCAAGTGGATAAAGTTGAATGGAGTGAATGAAAGTTCATTCACTCAAAATTACATCTCCCATTAGGGACAGAAAGTTGTTGGAGTGATAATAGAGAAGGTGAAGCTGATTTTCAGCCCAAACCATCTCCAGAATGATTTCTTTTTCTTTTTTAAAAATAATTTCAGTTGTAGATGGACACAATGCCTTTATTTTATTTTTATGTGGTATCGAGGATGGAACCCAGTGCTTCACATGTGCTAGGCAAGCACTCTTCCACTGAGCCACAACCCCAGCCCCCAGAAGAGTTTCTTGCTCTCCAGTAAGAGATGCCCTGAGTATAGGAGTCTGGAGAGAATGATTCTTCTGTCAGAGTCTCTTTCCTCACAAGGCAGTGTGGGGCGGGATTGTGGGGTGGGCTCTCATATAGGCACGCATGAATTAATGGTGTTCACTGGTTAATTCCATGTGCTTTTCACATGCCTTGCAGTTCACTAAATTCTACAGCCTTTGTTAAAAGCCTGGAGAACATGGAGAAGGCCTATCCAGAGGTAAGAGAATTCTGCCTTTTGTTCTCTGAAAGGGACTTGGATGCATGTGTGTCCAGCATGAAATACTGGGGTTGATACAGGGTGTCCTTATCATTGTCATTCCCCTGGGAATCATGTATTATCCTTTGTGTGTCTCAGCTCACAGGCCAGTGCTTGCACACAGCAGCAACTCAGGAAGGCCCTATCACTGCAAAAGGGGTGGTTGAAGAGTGATGGGACTGGGCAGGCTGGGCCAGACCAGTCCTGGGTGGCAGGTGCTGGTAGCAGGCTGAGGAAGGGGCACTGGATTTGGACTCAGAAACCAGCACCACCTCCCAGAAACCACCTCAGCAAGTTGAGGATGAGGATGAAGATAATCTGCCCTGCCTCCTCCTCCGTGTCATTGTAAGGCTCAAATAAAATGATAGGCAGCTGAACCTGGTGGTGCATGTCTGTAATCCCAGTGACTTGGGAGGCTGAGGCAGGAGGATAGTGAGTTTGAGCCCAGCCTCAGCAATTTACTGAGACTCTGCCTCAATCAATCAATTAATAAAATGGGCTGGGGGGTATAATTCAGTGGTAAAGAGTCCCTCAGTTCAATCTCTAATACCAAAAAAAGTGCTTCATAATACATGAGGCATTGAGTAAATATGAGGGGAAATTATGATACATTCAGTAGTTGAGGAGTTAATGGTTAAGATGAAGTATTCAGGAACCTTTAGAAAAAGAGGACCAACAAGAACATCTCCCTCTATACTGGTCTGTAACAGAGTTATAAACAGGGACTGAGAGCCAGGTGCAGTGGCACAAGCCTGCAATCTCAGCGGCAGTGGCTTGGGAGGCTATGGCCGGAGAATCACAAGTTCAAAGCCAGCCTTAGCAATGGCGAGGCACTAAGCAACTCAGGGAGACCCTGTCTCTAAATAAAATACAAAATAAGGCTGGGGATGTGGTTCAGTGTTCGAGTGCCCCTGAGTTCAATCCCTGGAACCAAAACAAAAATGAGTGACTGAGAAATGGATTGATAGCTCTGAACTACTATTCTCTTTTCTTTTTTCTCCTCCTCTCTTCCTCTCTCCTTTCCTTTTCCCTAACTTTTAGAAACTCTTTGAATAGTTACCTTTCTGTCTTTTGTGCTAGTTTTGTCCCAAGAAGACTTTTTCCCAACATGGTGCAGCAGCCTCTAGAAGCCCAGAATTTGTCGTTGGATGATATTGTTTTTCCAAACAGTGACAGAACTGTGAATCACTAAGTGCCACCGCCTCACAGATGTGAGATTCAGTGAGGGCTGTCCCTGCCATATAAACCCTCCGAGATGATGACAATTAGCTGCTAATCAATGCCATTCTGCTATGACTCTAATTAGAAGGAAATGTCCACAGAATACAAGTAATTTAGCAAGATAAGGGGTCCCTGCTGCTAACTCCATGCCCAGTGAAGCGAAGAATCTCAACCCTTTGCTGCTGAGTGCTTTCAAGCCTAAAGGCTGAATTATGGTTCTTGACGATCATTCTCTGGCTCTCAGTAACCCTCTGAACTTACGCATTTGGATGGCTGATGCCCTGTGAATGGGATTGGGTGGACTTATTTCTGGATATGAGATTTGCTTGATTTTTAGGAATTTTTTACACTTTTTTCTCCCTCTAGAAACATGTTTACTCCTCTATAACTACACAGGAAGTGAGGGAGGAAGAAGAACCAAGTGGGAAATCAGAGGCCACCTACATGACCATGGTGAGGATGGTTCTGGGCCACAGAAGGGGCTGGGAAGGGTACGGCAACCGTGGGTGGCAGATGTGTGACTAGATCACCCAGGGAGGCTGTTTGCTGAGGACAGAGATTTTTCTAAGTAGTAGGAAGTCAGAGAAAATAAACTCTGCTGGATAAAAGTGTCTTGTCAAACTTGTCTTCATACCCAATTTTGAGGATTAAAGTCATCACTAGAGGTGGCAAGTGACTTCACTGGGAGCAGGGAGAGGTCTTTGCCTCATTAGCACAGCCCTGATTAAATAAGACCTAATAAAGAGAGTGTGTTAGGATCCTTGGACAAGTATTACACTATAAGGGATTATTTTTTTTCTATCAAAAGGCCAAAGTAGAGTCCTTTGACCCTTGGAGTTTTCAATTCTGTGCCTTCTTAATGCTTTTGCCTATTCCGCTGGCATGCAGTCTGCATGCTGAATTTCAGAGAATAGCATGGAGTCTGATTCCTACTTTTTCTTGGCTCAGACTTCTGTGGCTCTGCAGTGAATAGGGGTAGGGACAAAAGGAGTCAGCTGGCAATAGCTCGATGCTATTTGTAAACTAATTATAGGCACCTGGCCCATGAAGGAGCAGTATTCTGCTGGGGTCAGAAAGGCTGGCTTCCTGTGCTATGGAATGACGGGTTGTGTTTGTTCTTGTCATTCCGTCCAGAGGACACATGACTCCCAGCTGACTGCAGCAGAGAAAATGTGAGATCAGGGGAGTGTGAGGTCAGGGACCTGGCCTGGTTCCACCAAGTGAAACATGAGTCCTGCTCTGAAGCTGCTGTTGAATAGACTCATTTTTTTTCCTACCTCCTTCCCCCGTTATTGCCATGTGATGCTCCAGTAACTGGTCGGGCCTCCCTGGCCTTCACAGACCTGCTGATGTGGCTACTGCTGGGTGTGTCACCCACTAGGGTGTTTGCAGAAGGTCTTAAGGTGGAGATGATGTAAGAGTGACAATGCTCTCATGGCTGCCTTCCCCATGTATCACAACTCCTGTGGGGACAGCACGTCTCCTTGAAACACATCTAATAGAGGGTGGGTGAGGAGAGGCCAGGGCCACAAACTCAGAGGCCTTCAAGTTAATTGAGAACATTCTATGCCAAACTAAATAAGCCTGTGGATGAATTCTGGATTGCAGGACACTTGGATGAGACCTCAAGTGCAGAGGTGTTCTCTATAGAGAGCAAGAGTACAGAAACTCGGATTTTTTTTCTACCAGGGATTGAACCCAGGGGGCGCTCTACCACTGAGCTAAATCCCCAGCCCTTATTTTTTTTTTTTTTTATTTTGAGCTAGGGTCTTGCTAAGTTACTGAGCCTGGCCTTGAATGTGCTTCCTCCTGCCTCAGTCTCCTGAGTTTTTGAGATTACTGACATGCACAATTATGTCTGACTAAGAACCTTTGATTTTTGTTGTTGTTGGCTTCAATTAAATTTACTTAAATGTATAGTTATTTCTCTGTATCTGTGTTTTCTTCATCCATGGATTCAACCAACAATGGACTGAAAGTATTTGGGGAAAAGTTGCATCTATAATGACATTTGCCGACGGTTTTTCTTGTCAATATTCCCTAGACAATACAGCATAACACTAATTTACATAGTATTTCCATTGCATTAAGTATTATAAGTAATCTGGAGATGATTTGAAGTGAACAGGAGGATGGATGTAGGTTATATGCAAATATTACAACTCCTTTTATATGAGGGAGTTGAGTGTCCCTGGATTTTGGTATTTGTGGATTCTTGGAACAGATCTCCCATAGATTCCCAGCACCATGCTGATCTCCCTTTCTAAAGCGGGACACACAATGGTTCAGATTACAAGCTTTGGAGCTGGGCACACCTGGCTCCAGCTCCTGACTCTTAGCAGCAAGATGTTAACTTAGAGGCAGGTCATTTAGCCTCTCTGAACCTCAATTTCCTTATCCTTAAAATGGAAATAATAATTCCTACCTTCCCAGGGGTGAGGACCAAATAGGACAGTGCATGTGAAATTCAGTACAGGGCCAGGCACATGAAAACAGCTTTCCTTCCTTCCTTCCTTCCTTTTTTTCCCCCTGTCCTGGGGACTGAACCCAGGGTCTCACACATACTAGACAAGTGCTCTAACACTGTCACTGAGCTGTTTTTCTGGCCCTGAACTACTTACAGTGCTTTGCTTTTTTCTTCTCTTCCCCCACAGCACCCAGTTTGGCCCTCTCTGAGGTCAGTTCCAGCTGGGGGAATTCCAAAACCAGAGCATGCTTTTTGAGAAGAAAGGAGAGTTTCCTTCAATTTAGCAGCGGCAGGGACTCTGTCCTCCCTCTGTGTTGCTGAGATACTGTACCAGTTATTTCAGACCCCTGCCCTCCAGGTATCCTTGGCTTTTATCAAAGGGCTGAAGATGGAGGGTTTGGAGCCTGGCAGAAGGACTGAACAGCTCTGGAGGAGCAGGCTCTGCTGAGGAGAGGGAGAGAATGAACTTGGCTGGCTAGAAGGGCCCAGAGGAAGTTGGCTGAGGCACTGTGGTGGCCTCAAGCACTCCATCGGATCAGACCCGTCATATGGACAATGTGCTTTGTGGTTGAGCTACTGAGAAGAATCACAGAGATAAAAACCAATGCAAATGATTCCATCAATAAATGATGCCTAAATAAACATGGTTTGTGAAAATCATTCATTCTTATGCCCTGCCTGAGGGGTAAGTGGAGTTTGGGTAAGGAATCCATAGTTTGGAACTCCTGGAACAACTGTAGCACCTGGAGGGAAGCCTCATGGTGACTCTGCATGCTGGGCTGGTGTTGGTCCTGGGAACATACAGCAGGAACATGTTGGAAGTGAGGTCTGAGCACAGATTGGGGATTTGAACCAGTGGTTCTTCCTTCCACCTGGGTATTAGCATTGGTCCTTGCAGGGCCTCACCATAGGCCTCCTAATTCCTCATGGAGTGTCTTTTTCTTTTCTTTTTTTTTTTTTTGGTACAGGGGAATGAACCCAGGGGTGTTCAATCACTGAGCTACATCCCCAGCCACTCCCCTTTTTATGCATTTATTTATTTATTTTTATGTGGTGCTGAGGATTGAACCCAATGCCTCACATGTGCTAGGCAACCACTCTACCACTGAACTACAACCTTAGCCCCTCAGCCCTTTTTTTGTATTTTATTTAGAGACAGGGTCTCACTGAGTTGCTTAGGGCCTCACTAAGTTGCTGAGGCTGGCTTTGAACTCGTGATCCTCCTGCCTCAGCCTCCTGAGCCACTGGGATTGCAGGTGTGCACCACTGCGCTCAACTTGTGTGTCTTTTTCAAAGGTGATGCTGCGGTAATGCAAAAATGGACAACCCCTGATTTAATTCTTGGTCTGAAATGTGAGGTTTGAACACTTTTTGGTTACTATTGTAAGATTTGATAAGTTGGTCTTAAAAATCCTTTGGTTCTGACCTCTGACTTCTGGTCTCTAGGGATCAGCCTGGACTCAGCCCCTGTCTCCTTTCCTCAGCTACCACAGGCCTTTTCTCATTCTCTGCACCCCTTTTGCCCCACATTGAGCCATTCAGGGCCCAAATAAAGAAGAGATCTTTTCAACATCTCTGATTTCTGATCCAGTCTCAAGCAGGGCTACAATTTTGAATGATTCCTCAAGCCCTCCAAGTATTGGGGCCCTCTCATGGCATTATGAGCTCTTTCTTTTATACCAGTTTTTCTTGTTTAACCATGAAGAAGAGTCATTGAGAGTTTTCTCTTTGTTCTTGTTTAGCGACAGAGCTCTGTTGGCTCTAAATAAGGAGTATGTCAACATGCGTATAGAAGGTGCTATCCTGTCCAAGACATACCAGGGACACATATTGGCACTATAATTTGACTCTGGAAGGACTCTTCATATCCAGAGTGTTTATGGGGAAGAAGTGGTTTCATTTCTGGCCACCCTCCACATTTTTTTCTTTGGGTTAAGGAGCCCCTTTTATAAGGGGGGGGTGCAGTAACTGGGGATTGAACTTGACCACTGAATCACATCTGCAGTCCTTTTTTGGTATCTTATCTAGAGACAGGGTCTCACTGAGTTGCTTAGTGCTTTGCTTTTTGCTGAGGCTGGCTTTGAACTCATGATTTTCCTGCCTCTGCCTCCTGAGCCATTAAGGGGCCCTTTTCTACTTCCCTAAATGTATGCATTGGACAGCCTTCAAGATACAGAATCACTGGAATAAGAGCTGGAGGGTGGAATAAGAGCTTATCCACGGCATCCTCTCAGGGTACTTTGATTGTGGAAGTGTGAACATACCCAAATTTGAATTTGATTCCATTCTGGGTTCAGCAGTTGAGTCTGGGGAGGAGGAAGAGGAAACCTACCTGTCTTTCACAAACCTTCTTCTCATACCTAGGCATGAATTTGCTGCTGAGGGTGGAATCCATGGTTGTCAAATACCAACTTTGCTGAAAACTAACACATTCCTGTAGGAGACCATGGAAAAGATTTACTTGTTCTCTTATGTCATTTTCTTACAAGGGACTGTCTATTAAATCCAGGAACATAAAGGTGGACGGTGTAGGGAGTAAGCTTCAAAGTCAAATGGTTTGGTTCAAATCTAGGTTCTGGCTCTTACTCGTCAATACTGCAAAGTTTTCCTAGATTCTCTGAGGCTGTTTTCCCTATGCAGATGCTTCTTGTCTGAGATGTGGTTATATCCATTATAAATTGAAATTATCATCAGTTGAAAATGCATTCAATATGCATAACTCACAGAATATCATAACGTAGCAACACTGGAAGATGAGTTGTTCCCCTTTGGGATCATGTGGCTGACTGGAAGCTACAGCTTGCTGCCATTGCTCAGCACTGAGAGAGAGGATCTTACCACAGATCGCTAGCCTGAGAACAGATTGCAATTCAAAACTCAGAGTATGGTTTCTACCGAATGCATATTGCTTTTGCACCATTGAAAAGCTGAAAATCATAAACTGAACTATAGTAAATTGGGGACTGTACATGTAAATTTGGGACTGTAGGATTTTTTTCTCTCTCTCTTTTGCAATTACTAAATGAGATAGCTTAGACAACAGTGCTGGTCTGAGCCCTCAGTTGGATTTATCTTTTCCAGCTCTTGCTATTCAGAAACGGGTTCTTTCTTTTTTAATGCCATGCTAACCAGTCTGTGCCATTAATAACAAAATTGAGCAGAATGGATGACAATATCTTCTGGTGACTCAGTGCCCCTCTCCTGTTGATTTTTATTTCTATGGGCAGGAAACAAACTCAGACACCTAAGTCCCTCTAACTCAAAGAGAGAGTTAGGAAGCTGAGCTTAGGCAAAGGGTTCAAGGGGTGACATGCTGAAGGGCAGGAAAACTGCTGGAAAGGGATCAAGCTGGGTCCCCTGGTGTAGGAGATCCTTCAGCAAGCACTTTTGTTACTTGAATTTGCAATATGTTAGGTCCCTAGAACACCAGATGCTCCCATATTTGAAGGTTTCCAGAAGCACACAGGTCCTTGCCAAGAGAAAGCCCGGAGGGGGTGGGCCGCCCATGAATAATGCAGGATCTAGCAGCTCCAGAATTTGGCTGTTGAAGGCTGGCGGCACAAGCCTGTGATCCCAGCTACTTGGGAGCCTGAGGCAGGCAGATCCAGTGAGTTCTAGGCCAGAGAGGAAACAGAGTGAGACCCTGCCCCCTTAAAAAACAAAAACAAAAACAACACCAAAAAAATGAGCAACAAAACAAAAACCCTCAAACAAACAGAATGTTGCTACTGGAATTGGAAATAGCCAGACTGTCCACTGGACTAGCAGATAGACTGTCCTTCTTCTTTTTTTTTTAATGTTTATTCTTAAGTTTTAGGTGAACACAATATCTTTATTTTACATTTATGTGGTGCTGAGGATTGAACCCAGTGCCTCGTGAATGCTAGGTGAGCACTCTACCACTGAGCCACAACCCTAGCCCCTAGATGGTCCTTCTTTAGGACCCTGCCAACCCTTTGTCTCTCCCTGTTCCTTGCAACTCCACTCCTTTTCCCATTTTGGCTCCACAGTGTGCTCACATGTCTACATTGGAAATTTCCTTTCGTGAAATACCAGCTCTCTCTGTGTGTGTGTGGTTAGAGGGGCCCATGCTGACACGGAATTAGTGGTTTCTGAGAGCTGAGGAGCCCTAGGCTGTAAGTTGCATTCCAACACAGACCAGTAAGCCTCTTCCTAAGTTGAAAGAAAGTTTCTCAGGACCACTGACCTTCTGACCAGCTGGTTTGCAGATGTGGTCTAGGCTTCTTTAAGGGAGGTCAGGCAATTCATGACCACTTCTGTAAAACCAGACTCTCAAAACATCTTTTTTTTTGTTTTTTTAATCAAAAATTAAAGGAACTCAGAGTTTCTCCCAAAGCTAAGACCTTTCTTTCGTTTTGTCAGCACTGGTGATTTTCCTGTGCTGGAACTATGTTTCTGGCCTTCTGTGTTCGGGTGCTATCTTGTCTACCCATCCATATATCCTCCCACTTTTATTTTTTTTTTAAATAAAATCTTCTGCTTTATATATCTTGTCTATCCTGCATTTAAGCCTTTGCTCTTGGTGCATTCTTGCCTCATGAGCTATCCTTTCCCTTCTTGCCTGCCCAAGTCTCCGAAAGTCCTGCCTGGGTGATCTCTTGAGTTTTTGCACCTCCCTCGATATGTCTACACTTGATCAGATTTTTATCTTCTGTTGTCCTCTAATTGTTTCATAGATGTGGCACTTTATCTTCTCTCAGAGACCTTAAGCGCTTAGAGACCCTGCTTTAGGTGTTTTCTGTGACTCTTGCAGCCTCCACCTCCACAAGGTACAATCCTTCTTGAATGGGAGTCCTAGTGAGTGGAGTGGAGCAGCCTGCACAGGAAGCCTCTGGACCAGTTCCCCCACACCCTGGCTGGGTAGGGTCAGGCTGGTGGAATTTCTGCCCTTGCCTGGGTCATGACATAGACATTGCTCATTCTCTTTCTGCTCAGGGACCATCAGAGGCCTAGCCCATACTCAGAATGAAGTTGGAAAGTGAGTTGGGAAATAAATAATGACAATACTCTTTGATCCTGTTAGCATGGCAACTCCTACAACACCAGGAGAACTTAGTTCTCTCCCTGCAGACAGGATTGCACTCATCATGATGTACTGTGCCTGAATTTGTGCACTTATTTCCTTGTCTAGAAAGTGAGCACTCATGGGAAGCTGTTTCTCAGTCATTTCCAGGTGTACAGTTTCTAGCCCAGTATTAAGCACATCGGGCCATTAAATAGGCATAGTAATCTCTTTTATCCCTGGTTTTGCTTTCTGCAGTTTCAATTAGCCACAGTTAACTGTTGTCTGAAAATATGAAATGGAAAATTCCAGAATAAACAATTCATAAGTTTTAAATTGAGTAATGTGATGAAATCTTGTACTTAGTCCTGTTTCTTCCTAGGAAGCATACATGTGATTCCCTTGTCCAGCAAATCCATGATGTGTATGTGACCTGTCCATCAGTTAATTAGTAGTTTTCTTGGGTAGCAGATCCACTGCCATGGAATTCACAGTGATTGTACATATGGTTTGGTTTTATTCGTGGTTTCAGGCATCAGCAAGGGTCTTAGGACGCATCTTCCACAGATAATGTGAGACTACAATATTTGAACTTGTTGAATGAGTGACTTGATTTATA